GGCGGCGGGTCTGGCCGGTCCCCGCGCAGGGCAAGGCAGGACCCCACGGGCAGGGGGCAAAGGGACGAAGCCTCTTTGGTGCACGGGGGGGCTCCCGGCACGCCGAGCCCCGCCGGTGGCTTTCCCCAAAGGACCAAGTCCCCGGGGAGCCTGGCACCGGGCTCGCCTCGCTTTAGCATCCTTCCCTGGAAGCCGCTTTTCTTGCCGCATCCCCCACGGGGGACCTCCGTGTCCTGCGTGGGTCACTTTGCCGGGTGGCCCTCGCGGATCCCTGTACCCCTGTCGCCCCTCTCGTCACGACAGGTGACACAGCACCTAGCATGCGGCGACAGCCCTGAGCCCTCACCCTCTCCCCCGGGAGGGGACTCCGCCTGATTTACAGGGTTCAGCGTGGGTTTTATTTTCCACCCCTATGCTGGGGACACTTGTCCTGGGGTTGTTACTCACTGTCCCTCCGCAGCCGGGTGATGCTTCCCCAAAAAGGCGTTCTGCCCCCGAGGACCCCTCCCGCAGCACCGGGGGGGCTGCACGGCCCCGGCACCGTGCGGGTCGCCCCCGTTTTTTTTCCTCCCTTGGATCCCGGTGTCCTCGCTGTCCCCTGGCACCGAGCACCGAGGGACAGCAAAGCCACCCCCCTCCCATATCCCATTTATTTTTCTCCTCTCCTGGCGCTGTTTAGGAGGACACGAAGCCGCCCGCTTGGGTGCTTTTTAGGCTGGCATTACACCGTCCCCGGGGCGTTTCGCACCCATGCAATAAAAAATCTCTTTTCCCTTCAATTTTGGCTATTCCGTTGTCACCCCATGCAGATGAATTTTGTAGGAAACCCCGAAACGAGTCCGTCGAGGGGGCCGATGGCCCTCGCCTTCCCTGTGCTAGAAGGGGCTGTGGCTCGACGGGCCGTTTCGACGGGGATTTTACTTTCGGGACGGGAAGAAAACAACGAATCGAGGTGAATAAGCCTGGAAACAAGGCTGAGGCTTACGGGGTGGCCGGCCCCAGGGAAGCCCCTCGGCGTCCCCGGTCCGAGGGGACTTCCCCAATTTCACCCGGCCGCGCGTTTCTCTCCGGGACACGTCGGGGCGGGGGGAGCGGAGGCAATTCCCTGACCTAAAAAAATGGCTCGGAGGAAAGAAATGTTTAGCAGGCATCGACTTCCCCATTTTGCCTCTCACCCTCCGGAATTTGGGGTAGAAAAGCTGGAAATGGCTACCCAGGAGCTGCGTTTTGTCTGCGTGCCACACCGCTCCGAGCAGGAGCTGGGAGAAGCGGGATGCCTTCCCGTCGGGGGGTTGTTCGGGTCCTTTTAATCCCCGGCCCCTTTGTATCCGACCCCTGCTCTGGGCTACCGGGGCTCGGGGCGAGCTGGAGAAGCGTTGGCACGGAGGGGGCTGCGGGGGGTCCCTGTTTATCCGTCCCCTGGGGGCTGTCGGCCACAATGCGGCTGGGTGCCCGGGAAAGGCTGCGAGGGGGGACAATTCTCGAGCATTTTCTGCTGCAGCCCATCGGTCAGAGCAGTCCGGTTTCTGTCGGGGGTGGCTGATGTCCCCACCTCTCCTCCCTAAAGACCCACACTGAGCCCCCGCCGCACCTCCTGGACCTCCAGTTCAGCTCCCATCGGAGGCACTGGAAGAAAACCCTGCAGGGAAACTGTGTGAGAGAAAGCCCCAACGATAATGCCAGCCCGGATTTACACCTGGATTTACACTTCGGGCCGCCTTTAGGGCGAAATCTTTTAATAGGGATGGCCGGGAGCATCACCCGCTGCAGCGAGCCTGGTCCCAGCTCAGCTCGGCTCAAGCCCCGCTGGTTGCCCTGGTCCTCGGCTCTGAGTCCCAGCCAGCCACAAAGCATCCCTCCGGGAAAGTATTTTAGCTATCCGTCCCTGCGCAGGGATATAAATACCCGGAGATATTTTAAAGATCTCTGTGGGAAGCGATTGTGTCTAAGTGGTAGCGCTCGGAGCTTATTATCGCTGGAACCGATTTGTATCGCGGGGAGTGGGTGCTGCCAGAAAACTAAAAAATCCTGCGCTGAAGAGGGCTGTAAATTCCTGCGCTGCAATATTTCATCGAAGGACGTCATGGAAAATGTGGGCTCTTTTGGGGAGGGTGGGGGGCAGGCTGAGGACGGGGCAGAGAGGGGGGGAAAGAGAGACAAAGAGGGGGGAGAAAAGTGTGAGGTTTTTCTTTTTTTTCTTTTTTTTTTTCTTTCTGACCAAAGTCTGAACTTCTGCCCGTCACACGGCGGCTGACAGACAGCCCGCACCTCCCCGCAGCCGGCTTAGGCGCTCCGGCAGCTCCGCTTTGCACCCGCTCCCGATTTCGGCTTTTTCCTTCCCAAAAACTCTTCCAGGTCCCGGAGGCCGGGCTGGGGGTTCCCGGGAGCGGGGCACGAGCTGCTTACACGGACACGCGTGGGGCGAATTGTTACCGTGTGCCGGGCCCCCTACCCCGCAGGAACGGCTGGGGAGGGGGCGTTTTGCACCCAGGTGGAACCAGGAGGAAAGCGGACGAAGGGGGCACTTGGCTCGATTTTAAGGAAAGGGGGGTTTCATCGAGGCTGGGGCCCTGCTACCCACCCTGTAGAGGGATGAATAAACCTGTTTCTCCCCCCCGTGCTGCCAACCAGCCCGCAGAAGCTCCCGAGGCCGGGGAAAGCCGCTCCGATGCCTGCGGTCGGCTCCGCAGTGACTCCGAAGTGACTCCGCAGCTGGGCTCCGCTCCCCGGCCCCTTGCCCTGCCTCCGGCCCCGCTCTCGGACGCACCCCTTCGGCCTTAAATAAACGTTTAGGGATCAATTTGCAGCCGGCTCGGGGCCGGCGGCCACGGGGATGGATGGCTGAAAAAGCAGCCGAGGGAAAGGGCCAGGTGCCGGGGAAAGGGGTGGGGGTCCTCCGGGAGGGGGAAATGCAAAGCAGGGGCAGCGGGGAGGGGGACACGGGCCGGTCACTCCCCTCGCCCTGGGTGGTCCGGGCTCGCAGGAACACCCCGGCCCCTCTCGGAGCAGCACCCAGCCCGCCTCTAACAATACCACCTATATACATTTCCAGCCTCGGATTACACACGGCCTGCTCGCAAAGTTGACTTCACTTAAGCAATTAGCTAGTAAAAATACCTTCGGCGCAGGAAAAGGAAGAAAGCTCGGATTTGTCTATTTTTACACAAAACACGGCCGACTTGCGGCCCGGGGGAGGGATGGGGCCGTTTGGGAAGCGCAACGGGGCCGGGCCGGGGGTAGGGGGGGGGGTGGCGGGGCCGTGCCGGGCAAAACGGGCCCCAAACGGTGCCGGGATTAGCGCAGGGCTAATTGCTCCTGATGAGCCTTCTTTTTTTTTTTTTTTTTTTTTTTTCCTGCTCGCCTCCCCCCCCAGCGGTGAGGGCTGGGGGCGGGCCCGATTAAAACCCCCGAAAGAAGAGCAAACAAGAGCAAAAGCGCGTCCCGCTTTGCTGCGGGGCTGGCCCCAGCCCGCGCTTTGCGGCTCCGAAAAGGCCGTCCGAGGCAGATCCGGAATCTGAAAGTGCCGCTGGGACCTGCGAGGGGGTTTATAAGCAATAAAGTGTCACCGTCGGTCCCCCCCCCGCGGCGTGTTCCTGTCCCCGTTATGCCCCCAAGCGCTGCCGAGGGTCGTTCAGCCCCCATGCAGAGCGCGGCCCGGCTTCTCCTCCCCAAATTTCTCCTTTCCCCAATGCACGGGCTCGGTTTACCTTATAAAACGCTCCAAAATTTTCTGCTATTCCCACTGCGAGGCCTATAAAACCGGGAGCAATATATTTCCATTTTAATGCTTGCTGGCCACAATAAATACATCGGAAATCAAATCTTCACACTCCGAAAAGACGGGGCGAGGGGGGAAAGGGCGTTCGTGCGGGGTCTGGGGTTGTCTGGAGGGGGGTGGTTTGATTTCCACGGGGAGATTCTTGCTCGGAGATGTTTATTTCCGAGTGGAACCGCTGCCTGCGGCGGTGCTGGGCTTTACGCGAGCTCTTTGTGCCGTTTTCCGACCTCCATCCCCAGGTGTTTTGGGGGGCGGATGGGGGGAATTCAGTCTCAGAGCTTCGTATAGCAAAGAAGCCCCTTTTTGGGAGGCCTGGGGGGCAGCATTCGATGCGGAGCGAAGCCCAGAGTCAATGCTGTGCCCCAAAACTCCCCCCAGAGCCCCCCCCGGGCAGCCGCCGAGCTCCGAGCCCCGGCCGGGAAGGGAGCAGCGGCCACAGCCGGGCCGGGCAGCCGGAGCAACCTCCTCTCCTCTGCCTGCAGCGAAAAGCTCCAGCAATAGCAGCCCCCCCTTAACCCTCACCCCCTCCCCGGGCATCCCTTCTTCTGCCCCCCCTCCCCAGGCTCGGGGTTTGCCCCGCACGGCGCTGCGGGCTCGTCCTGCCCGTCTCCATCCCCAGAGCTCCTCGTTTGCCCCGGGAACAGGAGGATTTATTTGGCGGAGAGGGGGCAGACGATGAGAAGGGGAAGGAGAGAGGCTTTTTTTTTTTTTTTTTTTAAGAAAAAAAAAAAAGCCCCTGATGTTAAATCCCTCTTGATTGTATCACAGATGTGACAGGCGCCCTGGAGGCTGCTAACAACTGCCCGCGAATAACGCGAAGGGAGTTTGGAAACCCGATCGGTATCTATCTTTCTTTTAAAAGGTATTAAATTATCATAAAAAAAACGTTAAAAGCGGAGGACGAGGGGGTTTAGGGGGATCCCCTCTCTCGCTGCGCAGGCTGCAGCGGGGCAGACCCACAGCCCTGCGGTGCGGCCTGCAAGGGGGGGGGCAGTTTTTTTTCTTTTTTCTTTTTTTCTTTTTTTTTTTTTTCCTTCCTTTCTCTCTTCCTTTTCCCAATCTTGAGAGCGAGCACGCCGTAGCAGCCAGCACATCTGCTCCGCTCCTAGCCAGCAGCCGGCAAAGCCCAGATTCCTGCAGCCGTGCCCCCCACTCTCCCGGCACCCCCCCGGAGCGCAGATTTCCACGAGCAAGAAGGTGACAAAGCTTTAAAGGGACTTACCTTGATGAGCGAGTGACAGCTCTCCCGATGGGAAGATGCTCACAGGGGCTATTTTTTTTTTTTTTTTTGGAAGGGGTAGGAGGAGAAAAGGGGGGCTGAGGACTATTCCTTCCCATTCTCCTTCCCCCCCACACCCCTCGCATGTGTGTGTGTGTGTGCCTGGGGCATCCGACGGAGCTGAGCATCAGGCTCCTGGCATTCAACAGCAAACGTTCAGCACAGATTTATATACAACACCCCCCCTCCAAAAAAAAAAAAAAAAAAAGAGAGAGAGAAAAACAACCCAAAACAACCCAGCCCTAAAGAAACCTCGGAGAGGGCGAGGGGGCCGAAGCCCGTTCCCATCCCGGGACCGGCGGCGGAGGCAGGGAAGGGCATTTCGCGCGGCAGCGGGGACTTTTCGCCGATTTCTTTTTATTAAAGCACCCCCGAGCCCGTGTTTACATTGCGCAGTATAAACATCCTGCCCGGGCCCGCCGAGCTTAAAAGAGCGCACGAAGAGGGGGTTTCAAGTGGGTGAAGCTCCGCGCTGCGCCGAGCCCCCCCCGGGGAGCGGCCGCCGCTTCCCTGCGCGCCCCGCGGAAGTTGCGCGCTGCCCCGCGGGCCCGGCCTGCCGCGTCCCGGCCCCTTTCCCCGCGACACGCGTGGGGCCCTTCCCACTCTCCCCCCACCCCCCCGTGGTTTCCAGCAGAGCAGGCTCTGGGGGGGGTGATGGTGATGGTGGGAAACCGGGGGAGGGGGGGAGAATGGGGCAGGGCAAGGGGCTGTAAAGGGAGAGCCCCCCCCACGCGCGGCCACGGTCACGCGTGGCAAAGCCCCCCCCCCTCGCTGTGCAGGCGGGGATGCGGCAGGGGCGGCGCGGAAAGGGCTCTTTAAAAGCTGCCCCCCGGCGGGGAGCGGGCGGCGGAGGGGGGCCGGGACAGGGCCGAGGGGGCCGCCCGGGAGGGCGTGGGGGAGCCGCTCGGGGCGGGGAGATGCTGGGGCGCTCTTACGTCTGTCAAGGAGCGGCAGACGGCCGCGGCGAGAGATAAAAAGTAAAAGGCGAGCGGCGGGGCCGGGGGCAGACTCGGCAGGCACGGCGATGGGAAGCAGCTCCCCGAGGCACCGGCCCAGCTAAACGGGGGGGGGGGCCCGGCGGGACGCGGACGGCGGCGTCGGCAGCCCGGGGGGCAGCGGAGGGGGCGGCTTCTTCCTCCGAGCACCGAGCCCGGCTTCTTTCTTTCTCCCCCCCCCCGGCCCCGGCAGCTTCCCCCCCAGCCCTCCGCCTCTCGCTCGCCGGGCTCGGATTTAGGGATAAAGTGGGAGGAGGAGGGAAAAGGGGGGGGGTGGGGGGGTCGCTGCCATTTGTTTAGCCGCCGAGGGGTGAAGTCTCCCGGTGGAAACAAACCCCGCCGGGAGGAGGAGGAGGAGAAGGAGGAAGGGGGGCACAGGGAGGGGGGGGGGCCGTCGCGGCGAGCCCCCAGCAGCGTGGCCTTTTGGGGGGGTGCGCGGGGGGGGGTGGCGGAGGAGGGCCGGGGCTGGCCGCCGCGGACCTGGCCGTAGATGACTGCAGAAGCGCAGCAGGCTCTGTCCTCTCAGCCCCCTCCTCCTCCGGCGCACAGCAGCTACGGCCCCATGTCCTCCGTGGCCGAGAAGCAGCCGCAGAGCTCGGCCATGGACGCCGCCCCCGGGGCCCCCCCGGACCGGCCGGCAGCGCTGCGGGCAGCGGCGGAGCTGCGGGCGGCGGCGGCGGCCCTAAAGCGAAGAAAACGAACGCGGGGATCCGGCGGCCGGAGAAGCCGCCCTATTCCTACATCGCCCTGATCGTCATGGCCATCCAGAGCTCGCCCTCCAAGCGGCTGACCCTGAGCGAGATCTACCAGTTCTTGCAGAGCCGCTTCCCTTTCTTCCGCGGCTCCTACCAGGGCTGGAAAAACTCGGTGCGCCACAACCTCTCGCTCAACGAGTGCTTCATCAAGCTGCCCAAAGGGCTGGGCCGCCCGGGCAAGGGCCACTACTGGACCATCGACCCCGCCAGCGAGTTCATGTTCGAGGAGGGCTCGTTCCGCCGCCGGCCCCGAGGCTTCAGGAGGAAATGCCAGGCGCTGAAACCCATGTACAGCATGATGAACGGGCTCAGCTTCAACCACCTCCCCGACAGCTACAGCTTCCAGGGCTCGGCCGGAGGGCTCTCGTGCCCCCCCAACAGCCTCTCCCTCGAGGGGGGCTTGGGCATGATGAACGGCCACTTGGCCGGCAACGTGGACGGGATGGGGCTGGCCGGCCACTCCGTGCCCCACCTGCCCGCTAACGGCGGGCACTCCTACATGGGCGGCTGCACCGGCTCCTCGGCGGGGGACTACCCGCACCACGACGGCTCCGTGCCCGCCTCCCCGCTGCTCGCCGGCGGCGGCGTGATGGAGCCGCACTCGGTCTACTCCAGCTCGGCCTCGGCGTGGGCTCCCTCCGCTTCGGCCGCCTTGAACACGGGAGCTTCCTACATCAAGCAGCAGCCGCTGTCGCCCTGCAACCCCACGGCCAACCCGCTCTCCTCCAGCCTTTCCACGCACTCCCTCGACCAGTCCTACCTGCACCAGAACAGCCACAACACCGCCGAGCTGCAAGGTGAGGCGCGGACACGCGTGGGGAGAGCCCGAGCCCGCCGCGACGGCTCGGCCGGGGGCTGCCGGCGGAGCCGAGAGGGGGATCGGGGACCGATTTTAGGCACCCCCCCGCCCCGGGAGAGGCCGCCGTGCCCTCGCTCCTCGCTTTCTTTCCTGGGGGAACCGGCCGGCCCCACGGCGGTGCTGCCCGGGGCGGTTCGTGCCGTCGGGGCTCGCCCCGTCGCTGCTGCGGGGCCGGGAGCCGCCGAGCCCGGGCTTCGCTCCCCCGGGGGCTGCTCCGCGGCCGGAGCTGCCCCGGGCCTAGGGCTGGTGGGCTCGGGCAGGAGCGGGGGCTGCGGGAAGGCGAGGCCAGGGATGGGTGCCGGGGGTGCCAGGGCTCGGAGCGAATAGGTAGGAGAGCGCAGAGCGGTGGGGACGGGGCAGGGAAGGGGCGAGGGGGGAGGACGAAGGGGTGCCGGCAGCCCCACAGAGACTGACGGGGAGCTCAGCTCCTGTCTTCGACCTCTATCGAGGCCTTAGGGTCAGGGTTATCGAGGGCTCCGGAGGCTCCCAGCGACGTCGGAGGGAGAAATGGGGGACATTCCCCCTTGGGGTGCCTACCACTCTGTTCCTCACGGCCCCGGCCCCCGCCGCCCCCACGATCCGCTCCTCCCGGGGCTGGGTTTTCCTCGGGGCTGTATTTTCCAGGCCCGCCGCCTCCCTCCGGTCTCCGCTCCTCCGCCCATGCGGAAGTCGGAGGCTGGGGCTCCCCGCGCCCTGCAACCCCGGCCCGGCCTCGGCCCCCCCGCAGCCCCGCTGCTGCTGCCCGGAGGAGGCTTTGCCTTGGCCCGGAGAGGAGATGTCGTTTTTTACGGCCTCTGCTGGACCACGGGAGGCCTTGTGGAGGGCCGTGGAGGCCGGGGCTGGCCTTCGTGCCGAGGCCCAAAGTCCCCTCGGGGAGGCTGTCGGGGTGCGGGGAGCGGGGCTGGGGGCTGCGCATCAACCCCGCGCCTTCGGGGGAGCGAGAAAAACCCCGCGGGCAGGGTGTAAAACAGCGGCAGCGGGGCAGGAGCGCCGAGGGAAAGGCGGAAAGGCGCTGGAGGGAGGACAGCGAGGCCTGGCCCGGGCACAGCGCCGAGCAAAGCCGAGCCGAGCCGGGCCGTGCCGGGGACAGCGGCCGTCTGCGGGGTCCCGCCGGGCTCCAGCCTCGGTCCCCGCTCCGCCACCGAGCCGGTGGTTATCTGCCGTACACAGCTCGCTGGGAAAGACCTTGAACGAACCCCAGATGGCTGGAAAAAGGAGCAAAAAGCCGCCCGGAGAAGGCGCCGGGGCCGCCCGCGGCGTGAGGCCAGCGGCTCCCAAAAATCGCCCGGGTTCCCAGCACCGTCCCGGGGTCCGTGGCTCCTCCCGAGCGCACCCCAAGACTTCGGGCCTTTTTACGTCCCCAGGCGGCTGCAGAAAAGGCAGGAAAAAATCCGCCCTCGGCTGCTTTTCGCCCTCGGCCTCTCCGGCCGCTTTCTGGGGCCGGCCCGTCGGGGCTGGGCTGAGGACGGCCGCATTGCCCCGCTCCGCACCCCGCGGGGAGCACCCGGCACCATCCAGGGCGCAAAAAGTTGGTGGGAAAAAATAAAATCAAATCAAAGCAACCCGAGACAAAACCCAGACCATCTCCTTGAAGTCTCCTCGGGCCGGCTAAGAGAGAGCCGAGGCCGAGGAGGTTTCTTAGCCGCCACCTGCCCCAATATTGAGGGGCAAAACCCCAAATTCCCAACCGGGCTGTGCGAGGCGTGGACGGCGGCTTCTCCGCCGTGCTCAACCTCTTTTACTGACTGTACCCACGACGGCTGACACTTCTTTTTCCCCCTGTCCTGCAGGCATCCCGCGGTATCACTCCCAGTCTCCGAGCATGTGCGACAGAAAGGAATTCGTCTTCTCTTTCAACGCCATGGCCTCCTCCTCCATGCATTCGGCGGGCAGCGGCTCCTATTACCACCAACAAGTGACATACCAGGACATCAAGCCGTGCGTTATGTGATACGGGGCGGAAAAGCCACCTCCCGGGGCCGCCGAGGCCTGACCCGGGCACCGAGCCCCCCCCCCCGGACCCTGGGGGCGCAGGGGGGTCTCTCCGGGCCGGGAGGAAGGGCCGGGAGCCCCGGGGACCGCCGTGCGCGGCGGCTGAGCACCGGCCCCGGCCCCAACACGTGTCTTCAATCAGAGACGGTCTCTGCCTTCTTCTGCTTCTCCGCTTGGGTCGGCTTGGGGTGAGAGGAAAAGCAAAAGCAGCCCCCCGAAAACAGCCACCGCTGTCGCCTTCTCACCCGAAATCCCCGACTGCGAGTTTGGGTTAAGAGTTTGACAAATGAGGTTTTGATTATTTCCTTAAAAAAAAAAAAAGAAAGAAAGAAAAAGAAAAAGAAAAAGAAAGAAAGAAGAAAAAAGAATTTGCTAACCATGTTTTCTAAAGTCAGTGCATTGAGCGATGCCACCACCACGGTGGGTAGGGGCAGAGCCGGCTCGGGCCGGGGGCTCCAGGGACCCCCCCGGTGCCCGCAGCCGCTCCGCGCTGCCCCCCCGGTCACCTCCGGGCTTCCCGGCCCGGCCCTTCGGTCCCGTCTCACTTCGAGCCCCTACTTCCGAGAAATATCTTCTTAGTTTTGTTTCTTTGCCGGCAAACACACAGCGGGCAAAAATCTCTCAGAGGGATTTTTTTTAACTATATATATAATTTTTTTTTTTTTTTTGCCTGCATAAAGACTGCAGGATCAGACCCTATGCAGAGAGAATAAGGCACTTTGAAAAGAGACAGCCATGCTCATTCTGTTATTTATTCTACATTTTTTTTGTTGTCGTTGCTAATAATCGAGACACGAGTAGTCTCAGTTGATCAGTATTAAAGCGGTGGAGCTCTGTTGGCAATATTTGCCATATAGATTTTTTTTTTTTTAGTTAACCTTTGTAAATTTTAAACCGATCATGGTCTTTGTGTAAAGACAATCTTCCATATGTTTTTATAGAAATATATATATAATGAAGGATTATTCCCCTCCGTCCCCCCTCTTTTTTTTTTTTTTCTTTTTTCCTTTGTACAGTTCGGTGTCACCTATTTTAATTTCTTTCTGCACTGTATAAAATTGTAATTATGTGGTTGGTTTTGTTTTTGTTGGTTTATTTTTTTTTTTCACCCTGCCCTTTTGTGTACGTTTCGTCCCTAAGGATAAAAAAAAAAAAAAATCGAACCGAAATAAAACATGTATGTTATTTGTACATGGGCTTCACGACTGTATGAGCAGCAAATAAACGAGCATGCGGTGTAAGACGCGTAATTATATCTGAGGAGTCTGGGGGCTCCGCGGGGCGCGGAGGGGCCGCCCGGCCGCGGAAACTTTCGGGTGTTTGGGGCAAGAAACCCCGAGAAGAATAAAGAGAGGAGGAAGGCAAATCGGAGGCGATTTTTATTTTATTTTATTTTTTGCTGGAGTTATCGCCTTGCCCAAGGAGAAAGCGAAACGCGGTGCCCGACAGCAATTTGCTTCTTGCTCGGGGACGTGGCGGGTCGTTGCAGAGCCCCACATCTCGGCTCCTTCTTGCTTCTTCTTCCTCCTTCTCCTCCTCCTCATCCTCCTTCTCCTCCTCGGGGCCGGCCGGGACCCCGGCGGCTTCGGGCACCCGCGGAACCTCCGCGGCAAGGGGAGAGCGGCCGCGGGCCGGCTCGGCAAAGCCGCGTCAGCTGGGGCAGCGCCGTGGAGGCGCCCCCAGGCTTTTCCCTCGCCATGGGAAAAATTAAAAATAATTCAAAAATCAAAATAAGAAATTCAAGCGGGTGAACAGGGGGCTGGAGCGACTCCCGAGGGGTCACAGCGCTGCGCTCGGCAGGGACAGATCCGCACCCTCAGCGCCTGTGGGACAGCGGGTGGCTGGGGATAGGGACAAGGATGGGGACAGGCTGGTGGCTGCGGAGGGGGGGGTTGTTACCCGCTCTCCCAAGGCAATTCCTCTTTTACGATACCCGGAGGCCAACGCGCCCACATCAGCTTACACTACGAAGCCATCCATAGAGCAAAAACAATAAAAACCGAGATGCATACGGCTAAATCTGATCCCTTCGTCGGGTATTTCTTTCTTTTTACAGGCAAATTAGGTTATGGTGTGCTAATTAGCCCAGCTTTATGTAATGAGCTTAATTAAAAGGAAACTCAGCCGGTAACAAACCAACAAAATATCTAATTGTTCTTCTAATTAAGGCAGGTGGGAAAGGCTTTTTCAGAGCTGGTGGAGGCCTCTCTCCCGGATTTTTTCTTCTTCTTATTGTTTTTGGGTGTTTCTTTTTCAAGGGTAGGTCTGGGTAGGCTAGTGGTGATCAATGTGCAACATTTACTGGGGTTCCACTGTTTTTACGCCTTTCTGGACGGATCCTTCCCTCTGTTCTCTGCACTGTTGACCGTCCCTGCTGGAGGTGAGCTGTGTTGTTACCATCTTTTTAACGTACAAGCTGAAGGCTGAGGTTTCGCTCCTGACGCACATATCTGTGCTAGGTGTGGTTGAGATAGAGGCTCAGGGTGAGGAGTTCAGTCTCTGCCAAGTGGTTTTTCCTTCCTTGAAATCTCACTATCACTCCTAAGATTCGTTTCATCCTTCAGATTCATGTTGAACTTGCTCCTCTATGTGTACTATCGATCTGCTCACAGCTTGGTGCGCGCAGGGGATGGAAAGGGCAGACAAACACCTTGCAATCCGTGGGTCCAGGCTGAGCAAGGTTTGATATCTGGTCCCCAACAAAGGTTCTCATGATTCATTTTCCTCCCTCCCATCGGTTCCCCTGCCCCATGCCGCCAAACCTGGAAAAACAGAACCACCGCATACCGTGGACGCCACATACTCCTCAAGCCAGTGAGCGCAGTCTAAACAGGCAGCTCTCCATCTCAGACACCTCCACCGGGGAGGAGAGGATGAAACCCTACGGGCTCCTGCCCCCAGCCCTTGTTCTGCACAAGACAAACCCGCTTTTTCCCTGCATGTGGTGTCCCAGGGGACGGCAAAAAAACTAGCTGCTATCACAACCGGTCCCTTTGTAGCAGCAGATCTGCGTGTATGTCTTTGTGGTCGGGTGGGCTCTGCTGGGAGGCGAGCAGAAATAAGCTTGTTCAGAAACACTGGTGGAGCCTTGTAAGAGGAGAGGAGAAATAGGCTTGCTCAGAAATATGGTATTTGCTCACGTAACGGCCTCCCCCTGCCCAGCTCTGAGCCGTGGTCAGATGATGTGGCTCCGCTGAGCATCGGGGATCCGCTCGCTATTCCTCATCACCCGCTGCCCCATCCATAGGTGATAAAACTACCTGGTTTTCTTTGTTTTTGGTGTTTCTACTATAGGAGAGTTTCTCACTGCTGATACCCTGCAGTGGTCCGTGAGCTTTATACAAAGCTGTTGTGCTGAAATTCGGCACGCAGCAAGAAACAGGCCTGGTGCCTCCGACCAGATGTGGCACAGGGGAACCCAGAAATCCCCGGGCACCAGGGCCAGGTGGTGCCACTGCAGAGCGTTTGGGTGGCAAGAGGCCTTGGTGGCCCCGATGCTTCCCGGCTGTTTCCTTCCCCTGCCACGGAGCTGGATGTGCACGCTTACTGCCCTGTTCCTTGCACGCTCGTGTGCGCACGGCTGCGTGCTTTGGGGGGGGCACACAGCGGTCCCGCACGGGCAGGGCGCAGAAAGCCCCCAGGGTGCGAGAGCTGCGCTTGGGAGCCCCACGAGAGGCGGTGCGGGGCTGAGGTCCCCGCCGGGGGAGGGGGGTCGGGGGGCGATGCTGCGCTCCTTTGGTCGGGGGGCGGCACCTGGGGAGGGGGAGCGGGCCCGGGGGCGGCGCGGAGCCGTTCCCTTGGCGGCAGCGCCACCTGGTGCCGCGCACCGCGCACCGCTCCGGGAGGCGTCCGCCCTTCCCTCCGTGCGCCCTGCTGGGGTGGGTGCTGCAGGCTTGGGGGTTTCTTTTCTTTTCCTTTCTTTTCCTTTTCCTTTCCATTTATTTATTTATTTATTTTATTTTCTCCTTCTGCTTTCTGGTAGCTGGAGGTCCACAAGAGAACGGCCCTTTTCCTGCATCTTCAAATTTACCATCGAAACTTTGGCGATTCAGCACATCGGACAAACTGGGTCAGGCCTGTTCTACCCCCAGGTGGGGCAGCTGGGGATACATGGCACGGAGAATCCCATGTATACTCCGCACGTGATGCTCTTGGATGGGGGTGGCTATGCAGACTAGCAGAAAACCAGGCACTTTGGAGACTTTGCTGGTGGAAACAGATCCTTTGAATCTTTAACGGGTATTTAGAAGGCCAAGTTCTAAGTTTTGTCTGTACTTTTTAGCAGGTGAAGGCTCAGATCCATCAGGATAATTGGGTGCCTGACTTCTATATTGAATCCAATAAATTTGGGACCTACAAGCATCAGTGGACATCAGGAATTTTCACTTTTCAAAAGGGGACTTTGACTGCTTTTGGAAGACCAAAGCTGGACATTTGCTCACTTTCCATGCGTGCTTACACCCCTAACTCCTGCCTGATACCAATTTCTGCAGGAAGACAGTGCTAGGGTTGTTCCTGCAGGCTTGGCGTTTGTATGTTTGTGCCAAAAAATCTTTGGCACTGGCAGTCCAATCTCAGGGACATAAATGATGCAGGGGAGAGTGTGTCTGGCTGACAGAGACCCCCATGATGAGCAGGAGATGCCCAGAGTGCTAGCAGCAGCTCTGCAATCGTGAGCTGATGTTATTCATAGCCACAATTATCAGATTGGCTCAAGAAGTGAGGAGAGGCATGCAGCTCAGTTGTTTTTTAAAAAAAACTTTCATTGCCAGTACTCCTCCTGCCCAGTAAGTAACTAAAATCAGAATATTAGTAAGGAATGATAAAAGAAGGAATAAAACTCATTGTTACTGATCTTCCAGGACGGACAGCTGTCTATTTGCACAGGCTTATGAGAGGTTCTTCGAGACCAGTTCCCCATTATCTGAGGCAAACATGAATCTCCTCTTCTCAGACACTTCCTGTAGGTTTTCTGAGAGATCCCAAGAAGCCTGCAGGTCAGAGGTTGAAATTCATGGTCACAGGCACATACATCAGAGCAAATGTCAATCCTAGAGATCAGATCTGCTTGATCAAGGACTAAGATGGGTGGATATTGGCAGTGCCACCTCACTTCAGTGTTTCTTACAGTGACATAAATACTAGAGGCTGGACATAGTCATTTCTTTATTTGAGGCAGCGGGAGTTGAAAGACCCAGAATGGTACAGAAAGTGCAGTTCTGTGGCTCAGCTCAGCTTCAGGCTAATTACTGAAAAAATAAGCAAACACACCTGAGAAAGCAGTATGTCAGAGCCTGGAAAGTTTTGCAGGGACTTAGAGTACCAAGAGTTCACTTGGAGCTGGACTTATTACAGCGATTGTGTTCCTATATGGTGGTAAAGAAAAGACGCTGCAGATCAACTACCTGAGTAATCGCTTCCTTCAGAGAGGTGGAAACACCAGACTTTGGAATCTGAGCAGTGCAAGTGCCTGGAAAGACTCTGAAAACATGATATCCCTCTGGAAAAACTGTAAGTATTACTCTTGTCTGAATGATTAACTTTATTCTAACAGATTGCTCAAAGATACTAAGGAGTGGCAGGAGTGGATACACTAATGCCTAGAAATGTAGAGGTTTTTGCAACCTTTCATGAATGTTTCACTTCCTTCCCTGCCCCTTTTTTCCTCTCATCTAACAGTCCTGAATGTTTGCCTTATTTCTTAAAGAAAAAAATTGCCCTGCTTTAGCCCTGCATGTTTCTGCATGGGAAGGGTGGACCACAACATAGTTGATCTGCTAGACCTCTGGAGGAGGCACGTCTCAGGGAAAGGAGCTCAGATTCTGTTCCCCATCTTGTCTCATGGGGTGAGAGCGCAGTGATTTAAGTCCCTGGACTGGAGACAGGCTTGCAGTTGAGTGCCTTGACTGACCAGAAGGCTCTTCTGGAGCAGGAGGATCCAGAGGATCACAGGATCCCCAACCACAGCAGGGCTGTGTGGAAGCAGAGTGGCTGCAATGCTGCAGCTCTGTTGGGAAGACACAAGATGCCCACCTGTCATGTAGAAAAAGCCAAAAGGTCACCACGCTGTTTTTCTTTTTTGAGGGAGAGAGCTTCTGATGAGTTTCTAACCTGTCCCGCCAGTTGTTTCCCCAAGTGCTGGGAATTACCAGTTGCATCTGGTCTAGCAGGAGCCAGCTCTGCCTTCCTCGTTTTTCCATCTGTAAAACCTGGATGTTACTGGGGCCACCATAAAGATTGACTAGATAGGTCCGTATCCTGAAGTCATTTCTCCCAGTGACTTCAGTGAGATGCCCAGCCCAGAACAATGGCAGGATACACGACCCTAAACATTTCTGCAGTGCTTTGAAAGATGAAAAGCAGTGACTTTTCTACCTATGTCAGTGGAGGGGCAGAGAAACTTTTCATGATGTTTACAGCAGACACTGCAGACATTATACATGAAAACATGGGAAATGGCGCACTTTTCTTGTATAGAGATAATCTTTAATAGATGGCAATGAGGAAATAGAGGCATTCATACACAAAAGCCTACCTCACAGAGGGGTACGTTTCCCTGACTAACATGGTCACAGCCACAGATGTTTCCTCCAGAGCCAGAACTGCTGCATGGGGCTGTTCCTTCTAAGGAACCGGAATGAGAGAAATCCCAGCGCATGCTTTTCCTCCCCCTCCTCAACCCTTGCTGCAGTTGTAGAGAAAAATGCAGAGCCAGTGCTAGATTTTCAATGGAAGCATTTTCCTAAAAATGTTTGTTTCTCCCTTTGGAGCACTGTAAGACGATTAAATTTAAAACAAAAAAAAGACATGACTTGAAGCCAGTATTTAACCATCCCTTTCCCCAGATATTTTATTGGTCTCCAATGATAATGAGCTAAGTCCTCTGTCCTTAAAGACTGCTTTCTGGGAGGGAACCAGGGACAAATGTGAATGGAGGCGCTGGAGGGCTGGATGGGGACCTGGCTGTGACACAGGAGCAGGATTTGCTGTCTTCCCACCCTGATGTTGAGACTTTTTCTTCCTTTTCTCTCCATGGAAACAAACAATCTCTGACTCTTGTCACTCAGAGGAGACTCCACAGCAAGATGGCTTGTTTACTCGCTGCTGTCTTTGGTGGATTGAAGCTGTGTGGCCTTGTCCTTGTTCCAGGAAATGCATGGACATAGCTGTCTGAAGGAAAACCCTCATGATTGTATAGTTTTCAGTGCCGAGTGGCATTTAGCCACCTCGTTTTTATTGTTAGCAGATCACAATGCTGCCTCGCTGCTCTGTGCCACACACCACGCTGTGACTAATATCATTCAACAAAAGAAAAACCCCTCCAAAGTGACCATGTTCTCCAGCCTGGTGGAGCTGGTGGAGGCTCCATTCATCCGATACTGTTTTCTCTTTGCATCTCTCCCACAAGTGGGGATAGAGGAAGAGCAGAGGGGGCAGAATCGCTCCGGGAAGCTCATACACACGCTGTAACACCTAGGGTGGTCGCTGCTGGACTCTGCACCCTCTCAGCTGCCATGGAAGTTGAGCTGGGTTTGCTCACGCTGACCAGCCTCCGGAGCTGTTCAGCATCTTTCCCCATTGAACCCTTAAAAAGAGGGGCATGAAATAACAACATCCTAACTTGTTTGTGCCATGAAAGGAGCTGGAAAGAATGCATCGAACCACATGACAAGCGAGGACATCAGGCTGCACAGAGAATAGAAAGACCTCATTTTTAATTACTTCTGAACAAAGTTGGCTCAGTAAAGTATTTCCCATTGTACTGCTGAACTTTTCTTCTCATCACACAGCAGTGAAACACAGGCTCTTCTGCTGCTGCAAGTGAACTAAAATCAAGTCTGTGTTAGGGATCACTTCATTTCCTATTAAATGCAGACTGCACATCTATCACAGGCATTTTAGACTTTTTTTCTTCAGCACCCAGGCACTTCTTTCTCATTGTAAATGTTTTTATCATGAGAGTCATAAAAAGCAAGGATATCCCACCATGCATACAGAAGGAGGCTGGGGGTTAAGCGCCTAGAATTACATTCCCTCCATTGTTCTGGCCATGAGCGGTCACCAAAAGGCAATTACAGAGAACAGGGTTGAAGCACTGAGGCTTCTGCAGCCCTAGACTAGTGCTTCAGTCACAGCAACAAAGAGGGACTTCAGGGGCCAATATCCACCTGAGATTAGGCACAAACCCTATCATGTACATGTAGCCAAGTTCATCCTAGGTGCTAGCAGCAGGGCCACAAATATAACCAGCAGAAAATGAAGAGTTATTACTTTAGTAAAGGTTCTCATCTTTAAAGCTTGTTAATTCAGACTGTAAATTCTTCAGGGCATGGACTTTGTGGTTTGATTGTTGCTAAAATATCTTGCGTAGTCCTGATCTGGCCAAAGTGAAACATAAGCAGGCTTCGGTTCCTCGAGTTTCATTATGAGATCAGAGTCTAAGGATTCACTAAAAAGCATTACATTTCAGTTTTGTGGATTCAGAGAAAAGTCAGAAGTGACTCATGTATAACTGATGTCTTCCTGAGCGTGCAGAGAGCCTGAAACAATAGATCTAAGAGATGCAAACTGCCCCATTCACTTTTTCTTCAAAATCTGCTGTCTCCCCAAGTAGAATTTTGGTCAGCCTGTAAGAAAAAATCCACATTATACAGCTAGAGATGCCAGAAAGCCATGTAGGCGTGTGCCTTGGGCAGTCTTACATTACTTAATTAAACAGCAATTTAGCATCTTGCATTGAAATGTCTCTTAGCTAAAGATGAGCAACTTCCCAAGTGGCAGTAAGGGTACCATCCTTGTCACTGCTTCCCTTGCTGGCCAAGACAGGAATCACATTGACTTCAGCATGTGCAAGGTCAAACTCCTGCTGAATGTGTTAATATATGATGCATTCCAGACAGCATGAGCTATTCTGTGGTGTACCTCACAGGTTAGCTTGCAGAACAGCTTTGCTGCAAGTCATGCTGCTTTTTTTTCCTTTTCAAAGTTTAAATACTTAAGTTCCTACAACAGCACTTCTGGTTCTCACTGTGGGAATCCTATATCAATCCGTAGATGTGCTAGGACTCGTTACGATTTTTCATCTCTAAAAAAGGGAGGGGTTATGTTCTTGAGTTGTATTTGCCAACAGAAAACCCTGGTGAAAGTAAAGCACCCACCCTAAGCCTGCAGGACTGTGGAGACCACACTTGAGTTCTGATGACTGCTGCTCTGCCTTCATATAACAACCTCTTACTGCTAAACCCTCCACAGAGGCTCTGAACCCTGGTGAGCTTTCTGTAGCAGCAGGTTCTGTTTTCAGCAGCTGCCTGTACTGATTTGTTCCTGCATGATGTTGTTCATTTGTCATCTCTGCATCAAGAGCTTGTACCCCTGCTAGCTACTACTGATTTGCTGAAGCTGCTGATACAGATGGGTTTGCAGTGGGCTGCCAAACTCTAGCCTGGAGCAGCTGCTACCTTGAATTAAAAACAAGTTTTAATGACTTTACGATGCCAAGGCCCAAAGGACCTTGCCATTTATTAACAACCTGGATCAAGACTGACTACTTAAATTGGATATTATCACAGCATCAATATTATTCCAGTTCATTCAAACTGCTAATGAATGGTCCATTATCTTAAGCGTACAGTAATTATTTTTCTTCTCAGAGCCTAACTGCAGTTACATATCTCTGTCTAGTTAATATCTTCCCAGTAGTGTGGTTTGGACTGTTAATTGCCTTTTGGGAAAGTAACAAGTTATTATGTGAAATGTGGTCTCACAAAGCATAAGACTGAAAAAAGTGACAGGCTGGAAGATAACTACAGAGGTTGGCTACATGGATATAGATCTAGCACAGCTTATGTGATGGAACCACAAACATAAATCCCTTGGCATAATGTAAGATTTTACTTGCAGAAGACAGAGAAAACCCGTATGAATGCCTTTTTTTCCCATTACCTTTGGAGGTCAGCTGACTTGGAACTATATGTTGTGGTTTCTGGCAATCGAAAAACAGACGACCAAGGTTAGCATAAAAAAAAAAAAAACTTAGAAATACCTTTAAGTATTTATTTACACATGCATACAAATCATTTATCACTTATAAATTTCTTTTAACTCATTCTGCCTCAGTGAAAAGCAAAAAAACATTATTTTCCTCCCAAAAAACCTTAAGTGGTCAACAGTGGTTATTCTTATCTGCACTGAAACTTCAGAGATTTAAAAAAAAATAAAAAAAAAAATCAGAGGATGAAATTCTCACAGACCATAGAAGGCTGGTTCAACCTGCAATATAACAGGGGAAGTTCAAGACAACTGAAGTTTTCCCTGGCAGAATAATGCTTTTTAACTGCTGAGGTCACCTGGGCGTCATCACCAACGCAAGCAGTATTGCAAGAGTCAAAAAGAATATCACATGATCATGTTACTTAATTCGCCATCATTTGGAAGGGGAAGGCAGTGATGTGTAATTATTTTTTGTTTTTCTTTCCTCTGCTTTCTAAGCCAATGATGTAATGAGTATGTTGCAGTAGTAGCATAACCCCTGACTCCTATCCTTGAAGCATGCAACTACTGAAACAAGATGCAGAGGCCCCCTAAGTGCTCATGTCTGAATTCATACTAAGTGACACTGAAAATAATTTTGAGCTGGAGGAAAAGAGAGCTCAGCAGAGCACAAGAACTACTTCAGAAACCTATCCTACGTTGACCTTACAGGAAGTTGAAGCAATGCTTTCCTTGAGTCCCTCCTGTGCAGAGCACATGATAACAGAATTTTTTATTTAATACTGTATGAAATGTCTGACCCTTGAGGCATAATAATGTACTTAAAATATACTTAACAGTACCCTCTGGCTAAAAAGAGTTTCCAACTTATACATTAAAAAAAAAAATCCATTTGGATGCTTACTTTGACTATGTGCCCAGCATCAATGGCAAAACTGCTTCTGTTTAGAAAGGATGGTTCAGCCAAAATTCAGCTTGTTTTTCAGGAATGAAGAACTGAACAAAAATTATAATAAAAGCCATACCACATAAATCATCATTCTCCTCTACACTGGAAGTGTTCATGTGTGTCTAAAAACTTACTTTAAGCTAGTAGTTGATAGCACTTCTGCAAATAAAATTTGTCAGTGCTGCTCCCTAATGCTCATCACTGTCTGCTGCCGTGGGTGCAGGAAGACCACACTGGTGGTGACAAAAACACAGCAAGAACGGGCTTTGCTGCTATCTCCAACAACTTTTCAAAGAACTAGGACTAATCATCAACAAGTTTTGACTGTGGTTTGTCTGCTTTTCATTTCCACTACAATGAGCATCTATTAATGTAATTTCACAGAGGCAATGGAATCACACCACATTACAAGAGACAAGACAATCAGGAAAAGAATCTGTTTTATAATTATCTACATCCATCAAAAAGGCACCTGAAGTGTTTTGGGGAGAAGTAGGAGAGAAAAAGTTTCCTCTCCCAGACTGAAATAAAACATAGAAAGTTTAGAGAGGGCTGAATTAACAAAACAAACCTGAGAAGGGGGCTACCTTCTCTTCCACCTGATGTTAATAGTTATTACTAGAACTTGGGGGCTGAGCCAGTGTTTTTACAGCAGTTCTTCAAGAGCGCAAATAGGCCAAGGTCCCTTCCCCCATTTTTACGAAAAATATGCTGAAAACTCGCATCAGGCAAACACCGTTTCTTAGTAAACATAACTGTAACCTTTAAGACAGATTTTCTGCAGCTGGCTTTAAAGCTCGCAAGCACAAATCTGCAGGTACAATCTGTAGATGACAGAACATAACCACCTCGCTCCATGTGGCTGCGCGCAGCTACCAAAGGGCAGGTTTTTGATCCAGGCCTAACAGATGTACACTCTGAACAGCAAATCAAACCAGGGCCAATGAAAAACAAATATATGCAACGTGGGTAGTTTGTGGACAACCATTTAGAGAAAAGGCTCCTCTGTCATCCATCTTGACAAACGCACTTTGCATGTACAACTGCAGGAATGGGGCAGGCAAGTCAGCTGTGAGATGTATGCCTCATTTGTTTGAAAAGCTGGCTTTGCCTTTGTTGTTTGGCCTGCAGAGATCAGCGCATATACTAATAACCTTGAAAACTTAGGTCAGCTTCTTGCAAAACAATAAAAACACGCCTTTTTTTTTTCCTCCATTCAAATTAATTTCTGACTATTGATTTCTACTTGCCCTTTGTTTCTCTGATTCTTGGCCAGCTCAACTCGCAAAGTATTACCCCCAAGGCTCAAGCCTTTCAAAGAGGATACAGCACTCTCTGCGGCTGCTTTATCCTTGTAATCGAGAAAAGCCCTGTGCTGTGCTCCCTGCCAATTCACTTTTAAAGGAGTTGCATGGAATTCCCTTAAAGCATATTTCAGCTCGCTCACTCTTACGTTGGGAGGTATGTTCCCCACATACACGGTAGTAATCGTGCCAGATCCCTCTAATCTGGGACTTAAAGAATCACTTTCAACATACTGTTGTCCCAGCTGAGCCGAGCCCATTGCAGCCTGTGGTCTTATATTTCCAGGCATTGCCTTCTCGTTTAACGCTGTTGACTCGTTGGCGTTTGCCAAGTCTGGATGTTCGTCTTGGAGGGTAACATCCTTGCCTGTCTGTTTCTCTTTGTATCGAAGACTCTTTAGGATGGGGATTTTTGCCAGCATCTCATAGCTGACCTAAAAAAGGAGGAAGACAGATACAATTATGAGATTTTTCTTCCAGAAAAAGATGACCATCAGGGCCCATTTGTACCATAAAAAGAGCGGAACTTTATTATATTGCTGCCATTTGAAGTGCCAGAGCATTCACAATGTTACTAATTGTTGGCTGGATTCTGAAGATGCTCCCTAAATACACACTGCAGGACAAAAATAAACATTAGTTACTCTTTAAGCGAGCAATACAATGTAGATCCAGCAGGAAAATCAAAACCAAACCCAGAGCTATGTGATTTTGACATTTATTTATCAGGGCGTTTTCAGATTTGCATTCTCATTGTTATCCCTTAATATTTGCTTTGACCGAGGGCCTGTGCTCCTGCTCTGGCAGAATCTTACATGCCTACAATTCATCAGACCATCAGGCACTTTCATTCTGCAGACCTCCTTGCTTTCTTTTCCCCCCAAAACAGGATATCCCGTAGGCTGGGTCGTACAATGGGGAGGGACCATGGTGTTAGCTTGCAGCTGGGGAGCGTGCCTTGTAGCGGGGCTCCTACGAGTGTGGGCCCAGCTGGAGGCACGTTCTCTGGTTGTGGCACATCACCACAGCCCCTCTCTTGCCATTTGACCTCACGCACCACCCGCAGCTACTCATCAGATCCCACACCACTCTGCTGGGCTGGATCACAGAACGGAAGAGTGTCCAAACACTTACTTCAAAACTGTGAACTCTCTGTCCCTCCATCCAGCCCCAGTTCATAAGCAGCTTTTCTGGAAGGGCTCTTCCTCTCAACAGCTGAACCCTATCCATCTCAGGCATGAGATGCCCCAGGCTGCACTCAGTGACTGGCAGGAAACGCAGTGGTTCCCTAGCTAATGTGGTCTAGCTCTTGGCTTGCAGACTGCAGTTGGAAGCAGCAGTAATTCGTACTTGGCTGCTGGACAAGCAGAACATCCATCAACACAAGATCCAATTCTTAAATTTAGGGAGCAAAACAGAGCCTGGGGAAGTGATGCCTGAGCTAGCAGAGTCCCAAGCTAGTAGCCCACACAGTGCGAGCAAGCCACTCTCGCAGGGTGTTGTGCCCAAGAGTATGAGCCACGACCTCAGCAGGCTGTCCTGGACCAGCACCAGTGTACCCTGGCCAGGATATACCTGCAGGGCTCAGCTCAGAGCCCCTGAACTCCTGATTCCACAATTCTGTCAGGGGGAGCTTCGATCTGACTGCACCACAAGAAGTCTAAAATTCACAGATCTCTAGGGAAAGGAACCCAAGTCTGACGTGACTGGAGTAAAATTGAAGACAGGGTGGGGGCAATGCTAGGCTTAGGTAACAGGAAAGGCAGTCAGCAGGAGTTCCTTAAATGTTTCCAGGCAGGACTCCTCTTCTGAGGAGCAAACAAGCAAGCTTGACTTCAGGCTGAAATTAAATACATACATTTCCATACAGCCCAGCTCCGCCTCGTTAATATAATATCAAACAGCAGAGCTAACCATCACAGGCAGAGGCAACCTCCATTCTGCCACACTGCAGACCCAGAGTCAAGGTGTTTGGGATCAGGCCCTTTACACAAGCAAACTTTACGGCTGAGAATAATTTCTGTACAAATCTGGCCTGATCTGGCAGCCAGTACAGAGAGGCAAGGACTTCCTCTGGGGCTCTGGGAGCCTCAGCACTCTGAAAGGTACATGCCATTTTCAGATTTTGAAGACTTATTGCTCTGTGGATTCCTGGACTAATTTGTTTTTCTCAGCCAGGAATTCAGACTGCTGGGTTTGACGGCAAACTCCCCTTCCCTGGGCGATACAACATCAAACCAATGGCTGAAGCCATCTTACTTTGTTTTTACTGGCCAACAATTAGGAACATTTGTTGTCCTCTGTCACATTTCTATGTGAAACGTAAGCTCTATGCTAATTAAACCAAACAGGAAAAACATTTTTCTATTCTCATGCAACTAATCACTCCTGGACCCAAAGAACAACCTTAACCTATTACCAAGTGTGTGCACAGTTCCTTTCGCCCTGAAATTAAATTCAGCTCCTAAGGCATGGATGGGGGGTTTAGCAAGAAAGAGCAATACTACCAAGAGTGAGATCTCACCCGCTTAGGAGATTAAGGGAATTGATGAGCAGGGCCATTCAGAGGATGGATCTGGAACTCCCAGTCTCTGAAGGACAAACTGAAGAGAAGATTTAGATAATCCAGGGTCAGCATACTTTCTAAAGCAGAGTTCAACTGGCCAGGCTGTAGTACAGTCTCTCTTCTCACTGGAGTGACCAGCAGTTTTTGGTATTTGCCTGGAGCTCCTGGTTCAGGGTCCCTGCAGCTTCAGGTAGATGTACTTGCAATAGCATGTGTGTCTTCAGAAGGACTATGAACTAATTTTCTCTAAGAGCTGAAGTTCTGATCATCAAAAAACACCACAAAGCAAGCCTATCATTACCTGAAATGCAGCCCTGGGTAGGCATACTAGTGAGAAACCTCTAAGCAGCCAAGGCAGTTGATTTGGCACTTAGATTTGTTTGTAAAAAACAAACAAAAAAAAAACCACACCAACCAAAAAAACACATTAAATTAGTTCTGATACTGTCAACTGACATCTTTCTGTCACAGAGTGACAGAGAATTTACCTTTAAGACTATTTTCCCTGGAGTCTAGGAGACATTTTCATCTGGGCCAAAGCTTTCAAATCCTTCCCTATTTTTCGCTCCTTTTATGTCAAAGAATGGCAGAAAAACTCAGTTTGGGAATTCAGAATATCATTTCACCACCTTTTTTGGGGCGCAGGGGGTGAGAGACAAAAGGGCAAAAGGGGCAGTGGGTGGCACAGGAGGGGAAAAAACTTGCTCTGCTCCGTTGCAAAATACCAAACAAAAGAACTCCTTTGTGGTAGTACAATGTGTTGCTAATTACGATCACGAAAAAAAAGTTTCTTTTGTCTTGTGAGCTGGGGAGGATTGCAATGATTTATTTCCATGTGGAGAGAGTCCAAAGATATTCCTTCTCTTTTTCAAACAAGCTGCACGTTTCTTGGTCCTGTGCCGGCTGGTCACTCCTCCCTAGCCTTGCTTAGCACTTAGAGCTAAGCCAGGACACAAGGGACTCGGGCTCTGCCCCGCGTTTTGTTGATCCCATTATGCAGACCTGGGCAACCCCAGTGGCGGAAGCTCCTTCCCTCGCTCCCCCTTTCCCTATAAAGTCAGAGCCAAGCCATTTATTGATGTTTGTAAACTTCGTATTGAGTGTTGGGATTTAGATGATTGGCTTTGGCAGCGAAGCCAGCTGAAGAAGTTTCCTATTATCCCTTGACCACCAATTCCCAGGCCGCTTCCACGCTTCAGCCTTCTGGGCTCGGACACCAGAAGCGCTTCTGGGGCTGTGCTATGAACTCAGTAACTGAAGTGATTCAGGTTAAAAATAACTCCACCAAAGGCAATTAATCATTTAACAATCCTGCCTACTCCCTGCCATGGCTGGGAGAGCCTTGGGGAAAGAGGACAGCAGGGTAGATGAATTCTTCTGGCACACAATTACCGGGCTATGGGAAAGGAGCTGAGAAGGGAAATGTGGCCCCTCTCTGACAGAAACCTGAAGCAAACAGACTCTGGGATGCTGCCTGCCAATAAAAATCTCCCAGCACTTAACCCTGAGCACCCACTCTTACGACACCTGGTTTGGTCCCAAAACAACGTAGTGGCAGATGGACTTCTGGAAAGCCTCTGCTGGAACGTCGGGGCTCTCCTCAGCCACTGTTATTCCAGAAGAGCGAATGTAGCCACTTTCAATATTTTGCTGGAGAAAATGAAAGATGTGTTTGTCCTCTGACAGAATGAGTAATGCTGACCCCTGATACAGTGCAGGCCAAGCCAAACACCACTTTGATTTCCCTGGCAGCAAAGGCAGTGGCAGTTCTGATGTAGGGCCCGTAAGGCAAGGACAGTTATAGATTGCAGAGGATGCTTAGTCTGTTATTTAATTCTGCTTCTCATAGCTACCCATCTGGCCACACCAAATGATAGAGGAACACATGGCTCATGATGGATACAGGTGTTGCTGCCCTGCTCTGCAAGGCTGAGGGCAAGACCAAACGATCTTTAGTAGAGCAGATCTACCAACCCTTCCAAGTACCAAGGCTGGAAGGCCAAAAATGTTTACAAGATTCATTTCTGCCCTGGGCGATGCCTGACCTGAGACTCCTCATAAAGGCCTCCAGAACAGAGCCCACTTCTCACGTTGTCTCCTTCATCAGTTGCTTGTTTCAAGGAGCGCTCTGCTCACAGGGGTTTAAAGCACAAAGCCAAGACAGCTAGGACGGGCCAGCACAGTCGAACATTTTGTGCAAATGAATGATAAAATGTCCAAATATGTGCACGCAATCCGAGGGCATATTTCTGGGAGCTGGCAGCCCACGAAGTCTGCGAGCGTCCCTCAGGAGAAACTTATGCAACCCACATTTGGAATCCATCAGCAAAAACCGAGTCCATGGACTCTGCAGCAAGGGTCAGATTTGCAAAGGTGTCGAGATGTTTAACCACGCGTGGAAGCCTGCCCTGCTCACGCCATCCCTCAAAACAAGCCCACCCCAAAAACAAAACAAAAAGCCTGAGCTAAACCAACAGTAATTTTTTTCTGATGGCAATGTGTCCCTGCTAAAGATTTTGCCAGCTTGAGTGTGTGAATTTTTTGAGCTCTGAACCAGCATTATTTTACTTTCCAAACATTCTATCGCAGATCCAAATCAAAAGCTGTTTGTTGTCAGTGTCCTCTCTGCCACTGCATATTAAACTCTTCCAACATCAGACCCAGGGATGCTCCTAGTTCATTTAATCTTGGGAAAATTTTTTCCTACTTCTATAAAATTCTCAGCAAAAGAGTGATTAAAAAAAACACCACAAAAAAAAACAGAAGGAAATGCTTGCTAGAATCTAGTGATTTTTCTACCAACCATTCTCATTTCTCTCTTCATACCCCCAAGTATTTTAATTGGTCTGTACAGTTTCAATTTAAAATAAGCACAGCACAAATAACTTCACAATTGTGACACACATAATTGACAGCGTTGCAGATAAAGATCACAGCTACCCATACAAAATACTAAATGAGAAAGTAAGTTGGTTCATGAATTTAGAGTTCCCAGAAACAATGGGTTGGATTTTCTAGGCAGATGAAGCCAAATAACTCTCCACTGGTATCCAAATAAAGTTTTCCAGAGTGCTCAGCTCTTAGCAGCTCTTGCTGCCCTCCAAGAGCACTTACACATTTTTCAAACCCCTCAACTCCAGTACAGAAAGCTTACCTGTATACAAGTTCCAGTATTGCCTTTGTAATTTAGATGTGTTTCTAGAGTGCCTAGTACTTATTTTGATAATGCTTCCCTGGTACTAACACTGTAACTCTTATACGTCCTTTGAAGTCTTTAAAAAAAATCAGCATTTCTACAACAAAAATCACAGTATGTAATTATTTGCACCTGTTCCCATACTTGACTCACTACTTCCTTCCCACACAGCACATAAGGACCACAAACACTCCACGAAAACACAGTGCCTCTTTGAGCACAGAAACCTAGCCTGGAGATATGCATTTTGTTTACTCTGCAGGTACCCTTTTACCTCATTATGAGCTGAAAACAGAGGGTACCTATTAATGGCTATTTATCCTAGCAGCTTTAGGAAAGCACATCCTTTGCAGCAATTCTTAGCAGTAATCCCATGTTTGCAAACACCTTTAATTCATTTTGTAAGTCATTGTCTCGGCTTGATCCAGTGAAGGATGATTTTTTTTTTTGCAATGTACTTTACACATTGCCCACCTTAAAGCAGTTAAGCTACTTTCTGTTGACAAAACACCATATTCAGAAGTGGGGTATTTATTTACTGACTACCTCTTGATTCGTTTAGTTTTGCAGGGAGGAACAAGAATACATCAGCAAAGCCAGGATTTGAAGGAGAAAAGGATGTAGAGAAAAGGATGAGAAAATAATGTAGTAGCATCCAGGTAAAGCTGATGGACAAACACTTAAATAGCCCCAACCAAATCCTACCTTTTTAGCAACCTGACAATTAACTAGACCTCCCACCTCCAAGACCCTCTGTGCAGGAGTCGATCACAGTTACCTCCACAGCCACAAACAACATGTATACAAGTTGTTCAGTTCCCTGTGCATGAATAATGCTAAATTATTTCTTCTTCATACAGACAACACTTTGTTGTTGTCCCAAAACAACAGAAACATAATTATCCCCACTGACTAGCGTTCTCCGATATTATCTAGTCAACACAAGCTCTGAAGAACAGCCAAAAGCTGTTTTATATGTTAAATTAACACTCAAACACTTAAAGCTTGGTTATGTAAAGAGCTCTGTTCTCAGTGAAAGCTGTAAAAAGTTCAGTGAGAGCTGCATTTTTCAGACACCACCACTAACGCAGAGATTACTACAGAAAAAAAGTTTCACTACAAGACACAAACTAGCTGAAGTCAATGTGGTGCAGGCTTTAGATAAAACTCTACTAAGCATCTCCTCATGCTTTAGAAACAAGGGGTTGAGACAAATACTTTGTAAGCTTTTGAGCAACATTCTGTAACACAAATCTTGACTTTTTCTTTGCAAAGCAAAGAAATGCAAAAGAAACGTTGAATTTGATAAATTGCTTGGGGATTGACTTCACTTTCTACCAGTGGCAAAAGCCACACAAAAGATTCAAGGGCCACTGCAAAAGACTGTGCCCCAGACCCTTAAATAATGTTTCTAGCAAAAGGAAGGAGACAGGAGGTGGAGGGGGAAGCATTAGTAAGGCCGCTTACTGAGACTGGTCTGACACTAAGAGACAGACTATAATCAAAAGTATGTTGGCAAGATGGATGGAGCACAAGGAATAGGCCTTCAAAACAATTACATTCAATAATACCCTAAAAATTATAATTCAAAAATAATTCAATGGAAAAAATGCACTAGAACAGAGAAAGCTTTTATTTATTTAATTTTAACCTCAAATCCTCAACCACAGTCAGGGTAAATCACTCTCTCACCATCGGAATAAAAATAGTACTGGCTAGAATTGTTTGTTGTAGATACATTACCTTAACAAATGCAACTTTTTACTTTGTTCACCGCTTGCCAAACAACTGATTTCCCTAGAAGTATTCAGCGGTATTTCTCCAGAGCTTTCTGCAGAGAAAGGGTATGCTATGCCTCGTTTTAACATTTATACTGCTACCCAGTCATGCAGGATTATGTCTTCTCCCTAACCGGATGGCTTTTGGAATGAAAATCTAATGTCAAAGAAAACGTTTTCCCAAAATGCAATTCCAGTAGAATAATTTCCTAAATGCTTTTCCAAAACCATTTTTGAAACCACTGAAGTTTCTGACAATTACCAGAAGAAAAAAAAAAAAAAACACAAAGAACTCCAAACGCATAATACAATCATTGTCAATAAATAATGATACGTGATTTAAAGCAGTATTAAGTCACTGTTCCTCCACCTGAAAATGAGCTCTGTCCTCTGGAAGCCAACCCCATACATTTGCTATGTAAACAGCAATGTACCAGCCACTAAGTCATGCTTTTCTTTTAGAACTGGAGCAGCGAGTATTCCACCCATTCCGCACAGTCTAATGCCATAAAGTTGTCTCCAAAGTACTGTCTTCATAAATTGAAGGCAGGCAGTTTTATTAAGCACTCAAGAATTAGATATAAAACAAAATGGAGAAGTCCCTCGTCTTACATAAGCTGTTATATTGCAAACAACTACAAGAAATGATGCTTCTCTTAAAACTCCACGAACGATGGTTTTGGCAACTCTCACCCTATAATTCATTTGATACCATAACTTCAGCTTCAATAATATACTTCATCACTATCACCATCTACAAACCACTGAACATTTACACTGTATTTTTGTTTCATCTAACAAACACATTTGCTCCTTTTCCAAGTATTTCCAAAGTAACAAATGTGTTTATATGTAATTTTCCCTACGGGACTAAAAATGGAGAAATTATGAACAGAATGTTGGTACCAGTAAGCCATTGTTAACAGAGGTAACTTGCCTTATGCCATAGTATTCCCTGTGGTTTCGGTCGTTTGCAATTAGTCTTGATAGTTCTTGTTGGCGTGAGTATATAATCAACGGTTAAATCATGATCATCAAGAAGCTCTTCTGATATGTCAAGCACCTACAGGAAGAAAGAGATTTGTTAAAAACAAATTCATTAAATTGGTGCATAATTCCTGATGTCTTGTAACATATGCAAATCTAGTAGTGACTCTGGAAACAAAGTAAAGGTGCTACCCCAAAATCATTTCAAGTTGTCACTTCAGAGCAGATATTTTATCTTACCTGGCAGTCATGCACAATTGTAACTACAGGTGTCTCCTCCTTCACTGCTCCCATTGACACCATCATTGCATATTCCATGTCTGCATAGCCTTCACCTTTTCCAATTCTCCAGCCTAAAACACACAAAAGCAAAAGGTGAGGGTAGACACAAACACAGTGGAAAGAATGGTAACTGTCAAAAGCATGTGATTAAACTCTGCAGCCTGCAACAGATAAACCAAGCAGAGCAGTTATAACTTAGCAAGAATTCAGATCAATGTCTTTCACAGAATGCAACTTTACTCGGAATTAAAACTGAAATTAAAGTTAAACATTAGTTTCAACAAACACTTGGAAGATGCCAGGATCCTTCCACTGAGAACAAACCAAATCCAATCTAATTTGGTTAACACAGCAACCTATTTACCCACTGTAATTAGAACCACCTACTCACATCAAGCACAGTTTAACTTCATATAAGTAAAGAGGAATCTGGGTCACATACAAAGTGCATTTTATTTTTAGGCAACGGGTCAAGTCAACAGATATTTTTTCACCACCAGTGGTTCTTCAAAAGACTAGAAAATGCAAAATCTGATCCCCAGATAGGTACTGAATCAGCAGCTGCAACACCCATCCTTTTATACACCCTGTTAGAGCAGCACAGGTCTCTGAACACGTTGGTCTCCCTTCTTCCTTTAAAAGAAAGAAAGAAAAGCTTGCCTGAGTAATTCTCCTGAAGGCCAGAACAGTGGCCTGCAAGCTCTAAACCACACTGCTGCCTGCCCATCAAGTCTCCGCAACATTGTTGTAAACCAGGCATTGAATCTTCCTGCTTGGACTGGGATCAGTGATTTGACACACAGAAAAGACAGAACTTAAGGCCACAATTAAGCTCCAAGAAGATTTTCAGGTCTGCCAAAATGAAGATGTAACATTGCGAATCACAACCTTAACACCCTCCTCTTGGAAAGCTTACAAGGTTTTATCTTACCTTTTTCAGAGACAGCCACTGATCCTACAACAACCAGGTCCACTCGTACTTTCCCATCAAGACCTACAGGCACACTGTATTCTTTTATACCCTGCAAGAAAAACATAACTTTAGGTTCACACACTGCAGAGTCTTCCAACCAGTGAGGCTGAAATCCAGGGTATTTTGATAAATCCAAGTGACTCCCCATGTTTCTAAGTGTTTCTTCCATGTATAGCCAAGCTGTAAATGTCTGGAAAGGGATTCCCTCTAGGGAATCCTAGAATACATTTTCTACTACAGTGACAAGGATTCTGGCACACTTCAGGGAGAGCTAAGGGAGGTGGGCCATTTTCTAAACAAGGTTGCTTTTTTAGGATCAAAACCTTACATTTGAATCCCTTGATTCAGCATCTATTTCTGAAAACGAGGGCAAATGAAACTTACCCTCCTACATAAGATATAGATTCATGTTCACGAGCAATGCCAGAGCAGTACAAATTCTTAAATTAACTCTCACATACAAATCACAAGGTTAATTTAGACAGACGGCTACAGCCTGAAGACGTTAAACTGTACCCAAAATGCACAACAAGGTACAGATGCTGGATTACTCTCTTTTTCACACTGTATACACAGCGCTACCAGCATCTCCAGACACAAATCTTTAAAAGCACATTCTCAAGATGCCTATGTGCTCCCTGAGACTGTATTCCTCAACGCTTTGCTGTGTGATCATCATTCAGGATGTACCACTGCCAAGCTAAGCTATCTTTACCCAAACTTCCTAACTACAACACTGATGAACAGAAAAACATATCGTTCCTGAGAAGTGAGGAAAAAAAAAAACCCTTACACGGCCCTGTCAACTTTCTTTAATTCCTCTTGACCCCTCGTCCCCTTCAGGATCCTCTCTAAAGGACACGTCCTAATAAAATTCTGTCCAGAGTTGCAGAAATTAGAAACAGAGCTTTATTTTAGTTTTCAAACATCAGATGTTTAGAACTTAAAAGATATCTCAGTATTCATTCACTCTTAATATATGTGTACAGCATAAAAAAATCCTCTTCACACCAATTCAACCTTGTGCTAAGTTAATCCTCACAATATAAAGATCCTAAGATCCTAGATCAGGCATGAGGCCTGAAGCAGGTCAAAATAAAGGTCCCTTTCAAAAAGGCACTCTTCAATCCTGAAAAGCTTAATTAATAACCTTAATAGAACTTTCAACAAAGAAAGCTGCTACTAATTACCATCAACTTACAAACCTCGGTTATATTCTAGGTTACTCTAGAACTTTATTGCCTTCAGCAGGAGATAAAGAAGGGAATAAAACTAATAGCAGAACTATTCCTTCTGTAAAAGTTAAGTTATCACATCAAGTAACGATGCATGTAAACCAACACAGGTTTCCCTGCCAAGTGACTTTAGCTGTGCAGTATGACATTTTAACACCAGAGGGCAGCAACACACCACGTTTCAAAGAACACCACCACGTACCCACTACATACACATTTTTATACCGTCAGTTGAGGCAAAACACAGAATTATTGTTTCTTTAAACTTAAGACCGTGGAAGAACCGATGTTTCCTACTGAGTAACTCCTAATATTTTATTGACCAGATCAGGCAAAATCCATAAACACTAACATACTCCTTATAGGGTTTACTAGCTTAAAACTGCAGAAATAATAAAGGAATAATATTTATTAGAAGCTTAAAGATCCAAGCCACCTATGAAAGTTGTTCATAATGTTCCAAAAAGCATTCACAAAATATGCTGTTCTATTCATAAATTAAGTAGACCTGAAAAAAATAGATTGCATCATGACTTAAATACTGCCAAAAGATGTGTGGTTGTGTGCACAACACCAGGAGCAACACCCTAACAGAACAAGCTGTCAGGTAGCAGCTGGTATTACAACTTCTAGTTAGACTGTCATAACACAACACTCTCCTACATGCTAATTCAGACTTTGCCCATTTTGTGTCCCTACTCGAGACGTAGAACATATCCGCAGAATCTCCTTGGTGGCACCTGCAGGTGGAACAATCCTATTGAACAGGCCACTTCTCAGCCGTGGGGTGGGAACCAGCAAAGTCTTCCTTGCCTGTGAAACAGAAAAAGTTACCACATTAAAATGAGGCAGGCTCAGTTTTACACCAAAGAAACATTTTTACTGTCCCATAGATCTCCATGTGGCCAGTCATCTTATTTGCTACGAGTTGTTAGCATCGGTGACTGTGTAGTGGTGGTTGATGAATCCTCTCCACTACAGTACAGCTTCAGACAAGGATCTATCTAAAAAATACAGGGCAAGACACGTCTGTTGGTCTAAAGTATGTGTGCACAAATAAGCTACTCATGATAATAAGCTAGCAAACAGTCATAGGTCTGACATACGTCCTGTGATAAATGTATGGCAATTTGAGGCAAGGCCACCTGACGTGTTTCTGGGAATTAGACCACGCAACCATGGGAACAGCTGTCGGTCTGCAGAAGTACACTACTTTACCAAAACTCTATGTGCACCTTTATAGCTTGCCCAAATGGGGAGGACATGCTGACATAAGCAGCCCTGTGGAGCTCAGGACTGATAAAATTCCTGCAGGAAAAATGGCAGAAGATGGCCACAAGGTACTGCCAAGCACCGCACCGTTGTCCCACTCTCCTCCTCCTCCTCCTCAGGGGTGCAAGGCGCTCAGTTACCTGCAGTGCGGCTAGCCGAACACCTTCCAGAGGCTTATCAGGATCCACTTTGATCACACTTGCTCTGCTGAACGCATCGAGCTCTTTAATAGAGCAACAAGCCTGGTGGGACCCCTGTGTGAAGAAAGGAATCGGGAGAGAAGGGAATGCATTCACTTACTTCTAGTGTTAGAAAGCGAGCATTCTTCTGGGGAGCATCAGGATTTATTTTTACAGTACTGGCAGCTTTGAACTCCTGTAAAGCCAGAAGCCTTGTCGCAGCATGAGAGGCACCCTGTTTTCATAAAATAACCGTGCATCACCGAGGAGTTCAAAGCAGAGAGGGGAAATTTTTAGTCTTTCATCCTGTAGAGACGCTAACCTCCCCAGATTTGAAACACGAGGGACACACTGCTAATTTGTGATCTTCTCTATGGGAAGGAAACGCATACCAACAGTGGCTGAAGACTCGACTAACATCTTGCAGGGCACAGAAAAAAGAGGGGATCTGGGTATGCTCACTTTGCCTAAGTTGGCCCCGTTCACAACCGATTCAAAGCTCAAGGGCAATTTCCCTTCGTAGTCGACAAATACAAATGGGTTCCTTTAAACACAAGACACAGGAGGCTGGTTTTGGATGAACCACTTTCTGGATCAGTCGCTCTTTACAGAGACTATATTGAGCTCAATAAATTAAGTTCTAAGAGTGAGGTGCAAAAACCCGGTGAGGCATGAACAAAACGCAGCGCACACCTGCCACGACATGTCTGTGGGAGATGATGGAATGGCTCGTGTGGGAAGGGACCTCAAACATGATCCAGGTCCAACCCCCTGCCACAGGCAGTGACACCACCCAGCGGATCAGGCTGGCCAGGGCCCCATCCAGCCTGGCCTTGTGCACCTGCAGGGATGGGGCAGCCACATCCCCTGGGCACCCTGTGCCTCACCACCCTTATAGTGCAGAATTCCCTCCTAACACCTAGTTTTAATCTTTCCTCTTCCAGTTTAAGGCCCTTCCCCCTCATCCTATCACCACCTACCCAAGCCGAGCCCCCTTCCACCCTATTTTTCACCCCTTGTAGCACTCAAACCCTGCAGCGAGCCCTCCCTGCCTGCTTCCCTTTGGCAGCCCGCACACCCCCAGCCCCTCCTCACACCCCTCACCCCCCCACACCCCCAAACTCGCCCCCCGCACCTTGAAGTTGGGGATGCGGCCATGCACGGGCCGTGGTGCGTCCGCCAGGCCGCTGCTCTCCAGGTAGCCCCACACCAGCTCCCGGACGCCGCCCTTGGATGTCCCTGAGGGGCCGGGGGGCAGCGCTCAGCCCCCACCGCCCCCCCCCCATCCCCTCCCCTCAGCCCAACCGTCGCCCCCCAACGGTCGCCCTCGCGCCCCCCCGTGACGTAACGCGCCCCCCGTGACGTCACGCCCCGCGCCGTGACAGTCACGCCCCGCCCCCCGCCGCTCACCCACGCGCGGCCCCGCGCCCCCCTGCATGGCGGCCAGAGCCGCCCACAGGAGGGGCTTCCGGGTCCGGCTTGGTTCCGCCCGCCGCTCCCGGAGGCTACGGTGGGGCGGAGGGGACAAAAAGGTGCGAGGGCGAAGGAGAAATGGGGGGGGGAATAGGGATAGGGATAGGGATAGGGATAGGGATAGGGATAGGGATAGGGATAGGGATAGGGATAGGGATAGGGATAGGGATAGGGATAGGGATAGGGATAGGGATAGGGATAGGAATGCCCCCTCTCCCGCCATAGCCCCCTCTGCAGTGCTACATGCTGTGAGGAAAATGCCAGCCCCAACCCAGGGGCCTTTCCCCAGGATGTGCCCCCAAATCCCAGCCACATCCCTGTGCCGTGCCAGACCCTGAGAGGCCGCGTCATGAAGTAAAGCTCGGAGCAGAAATCGGGGAGAGCTTCTGTACGGAAACAGCCCCCAAGGATCCCATAGTCTTCCTTTCAGTCATGTGTTATACCTGGAAAAAAAGCACGCTTCTCGTAAAATAAACTCCCAAATCAGTCATTTAATCAGTTATTTTTCCATTTGAAGTCACCCAGTCATACATGAAGCACGACCCAGCCTTTACGTGGCATTGCAGGCCCGCCAGCACCCACAAAGCACAATTCGCTCCCACATTTAATGGGACAGCAAACGATTTATTCATCCGATTTATTATTTACGGGACGGACGCATTCTCCAACCACCCCGAGCAGAGCAGAGCGGGACAGGAGGGCCGTGGGAGCGATGAGATGCAGCTTTGTCTTAAATCCTGTCAGAGAAGGGGGAGAGATGGCTTTGGGGTTCGGTTTCTGCTCTGCTCAGCTCAGGCGCTGCCGATACACGTCCACGGCCGGAGCTGACTGTTGCTCTGCCAGCCAAAAAAGCGGAACAAATTAGGATGCTCTTCTCTGAATAGTTGCAGATGTATCGCCGGGCAGATGCGAGCGCATTTTCTTTCTGGGGCTGCTGTCGGTTGCTGAGCTGTTTTTTTCACAGTGCAAAGCAAAGGCCACGGCTCCGCTGGGCCCGGGAGCCTTTCCCCCTCCAGTGATGTGTTTTTCAAGCTCAGACCGATACTGTGGACGTCGGCTAAACGTTGTGGTGTGCCTTGGGCTTCACCTTCCCACTGAAACCCCTCGTCAGCATTTGGAGAAAGAACGCGGAGCCCTGGTTCCGCAATGGGGTGCGCTGAGGAGGAGCCTTTTCACTACCTCCGAGTGCTGCTGGAGCCAGTGGGAATCCGTCCAGGCATAATAGACCACCCATGTGGAGCTGGGCCTAAATGTTTGAAGCTCATTCCTCCACTTCCTACTCACGGAAAACTCCCAGCGACTTTGATATCTCAGCGGGGAGTTCGGGATTGGGCCTTTGGTGAGCCATTTACGGCCTCTCTGTAAGCCGGCCTCGCGATTTGCACTGCCGGCAGAGGAAATGGAAGCGTCGTCCTCCATCCCGGGAGGGTGCAGGGACCTCACGTGGGCTCACCGTGCTGGGACACGGGGTGGCATTTAGCTCTCCTCATGTCCGTTGGGGCTGCAAGAGCCCGCACTGTCTGTTGTCACCCCAAAATCACCACGCTGCAGCTCCCGGGGTGGATGCGGCTCTGCCACACTCTTCCTCCTCTCCTTTGAGGAAGGGAAAGTGAGTGAGAGCAACTGCATTGTGATAATTAATGTGTTAGTGGTCAGGGGAGGCTTCCAAACCACCTACAGCTCCCTCCAACCTCCCTGCAGGCCGCTCAGTCCCACATGTGGATTTGCCTTCCCAAAATGAGCTGGCCCTGCAGCAATCAGGATATTTGCCCTAGGACTCTGCTGCTGGGTGACGTTTATTTCAACTGCTTCAATTCTCCACTTTGATTCCATGGCTCTGAAATCCTGTGTACTCCAAATTGCATTTCCAGGGCATCTTTTTTTTTTTTTTTTTTTTTTTTTTTTTGGTGCAGCCTTTCCCATTAGCTCTCACAGCCTCACGTGGCTCGCACAGATGTCACTGGGAAGTCCCTTTGTAGCAGGGCCACCAACACCCCATGTTACTGGAGTTAGTCTACTCGAGGTGACTGCATCAATTCTAGATTTCATTTTGCCAAACTGAATAAAAAACTCTGGTTTGACCTCTAGAAAGAAGTCAAAAATGGGTCCAAGCATTTCATACGGAAGACAAAGCTCTTGCTTGCAGCACTCACAATTTATGAAAACCCTAGAAAAGGGAGTGCCTGCCTCTCGCAGGCTGGGATTACAGACCCTGGGGTGCACTGCGGACAATGCAGAAAGAAACTCCTTGTGCTGCGGCAGTCTTTGCCTGGAGTACAGACTGAACATGTAAGGGCAGCCACAGAAAATGGACAAAATGTACCCGAAAATGAATGCTAATCTATGTATGTTCATCTTTCAATATTGAAATTAAAAATCAGCTGCAAGTTTTTCAGGCAAGCTGTTTTGATGATAAATTCATTCTGGCAGGTGCATTAACTGGGGTATTGGCAATTTCTGACCACTGCGAAATGGATTTCCACGTGTGAATAAACAGCCTGTGACCGAGTCACTGCACTTACTAAATAACCCCCCAAAGGAGGGATGTTGGGGCTGGTGTCTTGGCCTGGACCAACCTGCCTGAGCCCAGCATCCCTACCCACTGCTGTGAACAGCCGTGGGGTTTGTGTCAGTGCCCTGGTTCCCTTCCTGGCGTCAGTCCCCAGCACAGAGGTGACACTGGGGTGTGAGTGTACAGCCAGGAGGATCAGTGGGGCTTTCCGGGGTGGTGCCACTGTTTGCATTGCCAAGGCAAAGTTTTCTTCTTCTTTTTCTTTTTCTTTTTCTTTTTCTTTTTCTTTTTCTTTTTCTTTTTCTTTTTCTTTTTCTTTTTCTTTTTCTTTTTCTTTTTCTTTCTCTTTCTCTTTTTCTTTCTCTTTTTCTTTCTCTTTTCTTTCTCTTTCTTTTTTTCTTTTTTTTTCTTTTTCTTCTTCACTTTTCCTTTTCCTTTTCCTCTTTCTCTTTCTCTTTCTCTTTCTCTTTCTCTTTCTCTTTCTCTTTCTCTTTCTCTTTCTCTTTCTCTTTCTCTTTCTCTTTCTCTTTCTTTTCCTTTCTTTCCTTCTTTCCTTCTTTTTCCTTCTCTCTTTCTTTCTTTCTGTTTCCTTTTCTCTCTCTCTCTCTTTCTTCCTTTCCTTTTTTCCTTCTTTTTCCTCTTTCTCTCTATTCCTTTTCTTCCTCCCTTTCTCATCTTTCTCTCTCCCCTCTGCCACTGTCCCACATCTGCCCGTTGTTCCTTCTCCATTCCCTTTCCCTCTCACCCTTCCTTCCTCTTTCTCTCTCCCTCTCTCCCCCCATCTCCCTCTGCTTCTCCTTTCCCCCCTCTCCTCTCTTCCTCCCCATCCCTCGCCCTCCGGCTCTTCTCCCGCAGCACAGCTCCGGCTCCCACGGGCAGCCGGTGCCGGTGCGGTGCTGGACGGGCGGTGCAGAGCCCCCGGTGCCCCCTGGGGGGCAGCACACGCCGCGCAGTGCTCCCGCCGGGCAGGTGAGCGCCCGCCGGCACCGGGCAGCGCCGAGCACCGGCACCGGGCAGCGCCGGCACCGGGCGGCGGGGCCGGGCCGGGGGGAGCCGGGCTGGGAAAATTCCCCGACGGGAGGCACCGACGGGGCTGAGGCTCTCGGCTCCGGGACAAAAAGGCAAAGAAAAACCGGCAGCAAAACCGGGGGGCCGCTGAACTCGGGCAAACGGCGCTACCGGAGCCCCGGAGGGGGGAGAAAAGAAAAAAGGGCCATGCCCGGGGGGCGAGTGCTTGCCCCTGCCTGGTGCCTGCAGGGATTCCTCTCTGCTCTCTCCTTTTTCGGAAGCATTTTTTTTCATAACGCTGATTTTTCTTTTTTATTTTTTTTTCCTCCCCGCGGTTGAAGTTCGGGCTTTTGTGAGCTTGTTGTTAGTCTCTCTAAAGTTCCCAGCTGCAGCGAGCAAAGCCCCGCGGCCGCTCCTCGGTTTTCTGTAGCAATTCATCTCGGTAAAGTTTTCAGCTGAGGAGAGGTAAGATTCAACCCAGGTTATTTCTCGAGAGCGGAGCAGGCTTCTAGGAAGGGACAGCTCTAGGACGCCGCAGGACGGGGTTGCTTTGGTCAAGCTTTTGCAGTTAAAAATTGCTGGCTTTTAAAAAGTGGCATTGTTTAAAAAATCCCGTGTGCTTATCTGGGCTTAGAAAACGCCCCATTTTTTTAATGAGAAATATGACTTGTTTGAAAACTGAAGATGAAAATATGAAGTCGTTCGCAAATTATTCCAGAAAAAAAAAAAAAAGTTTTCTCAGTAGTCGTAGATTAACAAAAAAAAATATATATATATAACCAGATCTCGCAGAATTTACTATTTCTTCTCTCCCAAAAATATCCTGCAAATTTGCACAGTTGATAAAACGGCTAAATTTCCGTTTATTTCCATCAAAATCGAATAACAATTTCGAAGCGTCCGACGAAAACTTCCCGACCACTTTTCCATCGCAGATAATTTTTAGCGATACCTCCTTGCAGGGGAGCTGCCCCTGATTTTCTTTTTTCGGCAATCGCAAAAAATCGTTTCCTTTGGTACGAAAAAAATCACCGACAATCGGCGGCCCCGCCGCGTTCCCACGGCCGCAACCGGCTGCGGTCTCGCCCCGTCCGCGGTGGCTGGAAGCGGGGAAGGGACATTTCAGCCAGCAAAATCCCTCTCTGGCTTTGGGAAAAAAAAATCAATTTTTTTTTTTTTAAAGCCTCACTGTGCCCCACAAATCGCAAAGAGGGAAAGGCAGAATTATAGGGTGAGAAAGCAAAAAAAATCCCAGCTCAGAAATCAGCTCAGGAGCAACCGGGCTGGGGGAAGCACAGGGAAGGAGCCCCACCGAGGTGACAGCGAATTCACTCCGGTCTCATCTGCTCCCTCCGGGCTCGAATCGATTTTGCAGTGACTATTTTCGTGGCCGAGCAGGGAGGGGGGAACTGGCTCTTTCCCACCTTCATGTCTCCGCTCGGGCAGCCCGGGGCACCTCGCAGCAGCAACCCCAAGCACCCGAGTTTACACTTGGCCACCATGCGTCCCTAATTGTCCCGCTCTGATTGCCTCTAATGAAATCATTAGAGAGAGGCAGAGGGGCGGATTTCACATGCACGAGAAAATCCGCCTCAACGGCCGGAACGAAAAAAAACACCTAAGAGCAGTGGAAAAACTAAATGCCCCCCTCAAAGTGTCCCGGAGAGGCCGAGGAACCTCTGAGCCCCCAAAAACGGGGCCCGGGGGGCATCGGGCCGGGAACGGGGGGCAAAGAGGGGACAAAGCGGGGACAAACCAGGGGCCGGGTCCTTTCTCCGCCGCCACCGGGGAGGGAACCGCTGGCCTTCGGCGGACCGAGGCGGGGAGCCGCGGGGCTATTTCATCGCAAACAAATTTATCGAGGCAGGGGCAGAGCCGGCCGGCACGGAGCGCGACGAGGTGGGATCCCCAACCGCGGTCCTGGGGAGCCACGGAGCTGAAAATGGGCTTAAAAGTTAAAAAAAATGGGCTGGTGGAGTGCGGGCGGAGGGCGAGCAGGGAGCAAAGCGGGGACCCTTTTAATGAAATAATAATAAATAGTAGTAATAATAGTAATAAAAGATTAAGACATAAATACAAAATTTTAATAAGAATAAACTACTTCAATAAGCATAAAACATTTTAACAAGAATAAAGACATTTTGATAAGAAACAAATTCAAAAGAAAAGACATCAAAAGTGGAGGAAAAAAATTATATCTATAGGGCTGGATGTATAGATTACAGCACGGCCGGGGTGGCCGCGCGCGTCGGGGCGCGCGCCCGCGCGCCATGCCCGGCGCGCCACCGCATCCCGGGGCCGCCCTCCCATTGGCTGCGGCGGCGGCGGCGCGGCACGCCATTGGCTGGCGGCGGCGGCGCGGGGCGGGGCGAGCGGGGAGTAAAAGCGCGGCGGCGGCGGGCCGGGGTTTGAACGCTGCGCAGCGCGGCCGGGAGCTCGGCGGCTCCGCGCACCCCTCGCCGCCCGCCGGGAGCCGCCGCTGCTCCTGCTGCTGGCTCCGGGAAGAGTTCGGGCGGTTTGGTTGTCAGCAGAACTGGGTTTCCGCAAGGCTGCTTTTTCTTCTTCTTTTTTAATTTTTTTTTTTCTCCCCCTTTTTTATTATTTTTTTTTAATTCGATTTTTTTTTTTAATTATTTTTCCGCGAGAATATCGTATTTCCCCCTCCCCTCCCGCCGGCATCCCGCTCCGCAGCAGCGCCCGCCGCCGCCGCGGGGTACTGCTAGGTGTGTAGGTCAGAATCACAGTCATAAAGAGGGAGGGAGAGGCCGCCAGAGACCACCCTGCCCCCGGCGACCCGAAGGATGCTGCTGCGGCGCCGCTGCTAGAGGACACGCTGGGATTCAGCTCGTGTCCGGGACTCGCTCTCTCCCTCTCTCCCCTCTTCCTTCATCCGCAGAGGGGTCCCTGCCGAGGGTGAGGCCCTTCCACCCGCGCCCCTCTTCCTCCTCCTCCTCCTCTCCCCCGCGGCTCCGCTCCCCGCGGGCAGCCCTCTCCATGATGCAGGCTCGCTACTCCGTCTCGGACCCCAACGCCCTGGGAGTGGTGCCCTATTTGAGCGAGCAGAACTACTACCGGACGGCGGGGACGTACGGCGGCATGGGCAACCCCATGAGCGTCTATTCGGGCCACGCCGAGCAGTACGCGGCGGGCATGGGGCGCTCCTACGGGCCCTACCACCCGCACCAGCCCGCAGCCCCCAAGGACCTGGTGAAGCCGCCCTACAGCTACATCGCCCTCATCACCATGGCCATCCAGAACGCCCCCGACAAGAAGATCACGCTCAATGGGATTTACCAGTTCATCATGGACCGCTTCCCCTTCTACCGCGAGAACAAGCAGGGCTGGCAGAACAGCATCCGCCACAACCTCTCGCTCAACGAGTGCTTCGTCAAGGTGCCCCGCGACGACAAGAAGCCGGGCAAGGGCAGCTACTGGACCCTGGACCCCGACTCCTACAACATGTTCGAGAACGGCAGCTTCCTGCGCCGCCGGCGCCGCTTCAAGAAGAAGGACGTGTCCAAGGAGAAGGAGGAGGCCCGCGAGAGGCTGCTGAAGGAGCAGCCCAAACCCCCCGGGCTGCCCGGCTCCGAGCTCTCCAAGGAAGCCTCCTCCTCCTCCTCTACCTCCGCCTCGGCTCCGGCCTCCGAGAAGAAGGTGGTGATCAAGAGCGAGACGGCGTCGCCGGAGCTGCCGGTGATCACCAAGGTGGAGACGCTGAGCCCGGCCAGCGGCGGGGCCCTGCGGGACAGCCCCCGCAGCGCCGCCTCGCCTCCCGCCGCCTCCCCCGAGGGCTCCCTGCCCGAGCATCACCCCGCCGGCAACGGGCTGCCGGGGGGGTTCAGCGTGGAGAACATCATGACCCTGCGGACTTCCCCCCCGGGGGATCTGAGCCCGGTGAGTGCCGCCTCGGGCCGGACGGGGGCCGCAATGCCGCTGGGCTACCCGCCGTCGGGGCAGCCGTCGGGTTACAGCGCGGCGTGCAGCCAGGCGCTGGACGCTAGTGGGAGCTACCACTGCAGCATGAGGGCCATGAGCCTGTACAGCGGCGAGAGGCCGGGCCACATGTGCGTGCCCCCAGCGCCGCTGGAGGAAGGCCTGGCCGAGCACCCCACGGGCGCCCCGTCGCCCCTGGGCGCCCTGAGCCTGCCGTCGGGGCAGGAGGGAGCGCTGGGAGCCGGGCATCCTCACGGCGGGGGGGCGGCGCAGCCCGCAGCCTCGTGGTACCTCAATCACGGAGCCGAGCTGAGCCACCTGCCCGGGCACACTTTCGGCACCCAGCAGCAGACTTTCCCCAACGTCCGGGAAATGTTCACGTCGCACCGGCTCGGCATGGAGAGCGCCTCGCTCAGCGAGCACCAGGTGAGCAGCAACTCCGCCTGTCAGCTCCCCTACAGGTCCGCGCCGTCCCTATATCGCCACGCCGCCCCCTACTCCTACGACTGCACTAAGTACTGAGTAGCCACCAACCCCCCCCACCCCCTCTAGGGCAATCCTCAAAACAAAACCCCAAAAAATGAGAGAAAGGAAAAAAAAAAAAAGGAAAAAATCGATAATAACACTTCCCCCAAAAAATCAAAAATCAGGTGAAATAAAACCACACCAAACCCTTCAGACTGAGGACAGACCTCACAGCCTCTCTGTGGACCTGCGAGCCACGGCGTTGGGAGATCCCAAGCCCCCCTCCTTCCCCCCCCCCTTCGGGCCTCCTGAAATGCAAGTAAATTTTACTTGAAAAGGGGATCTCTCCTAAAACATAAAATTAAAAAAAAATAAAACAAATTATATATATATATGTCTATCTAAACAAAGTGGCAAATTTTATATGCTAAAGTATAGGGGGTCTCAGAAAATAAGTTATGGACCAATATCGCAACGACCATTTATACGATTTTAAAGAAAAAAGGTATATAAATATATATATATAAATATATGTCCTGGGTATTTTTTAAGTTCTCTGTTGTGCTGTAAAAAATGTGTGGATTTCTAATCAGGCTAATTTTCAGAGCCATTAATATAATATTTAAAGTTGAGTTCACTGGATTATTTTTGTCGCGCCCAACGATTCCTAACTTCCAAATTAATGACAAGTGATTTCTTCTTCTTCTCTGTACAATTATGCAATAGAGTTTCTTTCGTTTTAGAGCTCTTCTTTGCGCAAGACGAGGAAATAATTTATTTTTTGCTGGTGGATTTTTTGAAAGAAAAAGACAAAGTATCTGATACTTTTTTATTATTATTTACGACGTGTGATGTTTTGTATAATAGATTTCACCTTGACCATTCCTAAGGACTATTTGCTTTAACCTGCTTCAAAGTTCGTTTGTCTTATGTGGTCTTAATTGTTGTACTTACCTTAAAATAAATCCATGCTGTTTTTTCTGCTCCAAGTCTGGCGCTTGTGTGTGTATATACGTGTTTTTTGCAAGTTTTCTCCCTCCACCTTTCCTTCACGCGGAAAAACGTGGCACTCGTTGTGATTTTTTTCTTTTCTTTTTTTTTTTTTTTTTCTTCCCAAACCAAGTCCTTTTCCTGCAGCACGAGGGTTCGTTCCGAGTATTCTGGGGGCTGTTGGGTGCTGTGGGGCCGCTTTCCCTCCGCCCCAGCCCCTGCAGCGGGGCATCTCCCAGGCCCCAGGAGTTTCGGATTGCTGCCGCTGCCTTTCCTCTTGCCCTGTCCCCGCAACCTAGGCCCGGGCTCCGCTTTGCAGCTGCTTCCACGCGGGGGGAGGGGGGAAAAAAAAAAAGAAAAACCCCAATTCCCCTATTTTAAGGAATCCCCAAGGGCTGCGAGCAGGGGCGGGTGGGAAGAGCTATCGCTTAAACCCCAGCTCGCCGCGGAGTCTAGAAATAATGCGGGAAGTTCACTTAGGAATCGTTTTACAGCTTTTAAATCCCCTCCCGTCTGAAGGTTTGCATGGGTTTGACCTTCTTTTTATCTACCTAAGCCGCTTTTAGGGCCGGCTTTTTTTTAATTATTATTATTTCCACCGCCCCCCCCAACCTGTTAAAGCAACTTCAGCCGGGGGCTGCGATGCTAACGGCACGCTGCTGGCATCGGAGGGGGGAAAAACTCCTTCCCCAGGGTTTGTAAGCCCGGTTCTTTGCCCTGCTGCCGGGGCCACCTCCCCTTTTCCCTTTCCCCCCCGCCACCCCCCTGTCCCGTGTCGCCGTGGCCGGGTCGCGGAGCCCTTCTGCTCGCGGGAGGCTGTTAAAATCGATGACATAAATTGGGTTTGATCGGGTACATTTCGCATGCGCTGGAAAGCTGGCAAAAGGCACAGAAACTCTCGGTTTGAAATGAGAAAAAATGTCCGACACTCACTTGATCTGTATTTTAAGGAACATTCTTTTAAAACTCTTGCCCTTTTTCCTGGCTCTCAGAGGGTAGTTTTTCTTTTTTATTATTTTTTTCCTTTTTTTTTTTTTTTCTTGCAACAAAATCCAAAGAGCTATTTTAAAGAGGAAGAAGGTAAAAAAAAAATAATAACAAGAATATAAAGAGGGGAAGATTTCTTCCCCTGCTTCAACCGTCTTTCCCCGCAGGCTGGGGAGCAGCGGGGAGGGGGGGGGGGGCTGTCCTGCTCTGTGCCTCCTTTCCGTGCTGCTGCTGGACAGTTCCTGGGGGGCACGGCGGGGCTGCAGCAGGGTTTGGGGGTCCCCTTTTACCCCCGACAGGTTTGGTTTTGCTGCCTCTGTCCCGTCCCGGCGAGGGGCAGCCCCGACGGCAGCAGCAGAGAGAGGGGCAGCCCCCCCAGCCCAGCCCGTAGCTGTCCCCGGTGCCCCCCGGGGCTGGCTGAGTTTTTCAGGGCGAGCTGTCTTTACACCTCCACTAACAGCCGATGTCGGCAATAACCCTGGAGGGATGTAAAGAGGGGGAGAAGGCTCTGCCCGGTGGGGTGTGCGGTGTTCCCAAGCCCTCTCCCCCTCCCCGCTGTGCTGCCATCCTGGGGTGGCAGGATTTCAGCAGCTTGGCAGAAAAAGAAAAGCCCTCTCGGAGGTGCTGAGAGCAAGGAGCCCGGGAGCTTGCTTCCTTCAGGATCAGGCCTTCCCCCAGCTGGAAAGAGCATCCGGGGCAGGGCGGCCTCCCGGCTCCCCCCTCGGAGGAGGCTGGGGGCTCAGGACCCTTTGCTGTGCCCCCCCTGTGTCTTGGGGGGGAAGGAGGGGGTCAGACCTCCTCTGCCCTTTTCCCCGACCCTCCGGACTTTCCGGGGGAAGCGCTTTTGGGGCTCATTTTGCAGGCGAGGCGAGGAGTGCGGAGCTCAGGGATCTTTCCGTGGCTGCATTTAGAAGCTGAGCTACGGGGTTCAATGCCACGATAGGAATTTGTCGCGACAGGTGACTTCAGAGAGAGGGAGGAAGGAAAGAGGGAGGAAGGCGCAGGGCAGTGCCTACGGCCTTGTGATGGCACTGATGCGTCTTTTCCCACCCCAAATAATCCCCCACCACGTCCTTAGGACAACGTTTGCAGCTGAAGCACCCCCAGAGCACCCCTCCAAGCAGGTCTGGGGGCCAAGCTCAGCCCCAGTGGGGCCGCCTGAAGCTGAAGGATGCCCCGGGATGGGGCCCAGCGCGGTTCCGGGCAGCGGATGAGGATGGTGGATAGTTTTTTCTTGCTGCTTTGCCATCAGCCTACGGTTTTGCAAACCTGTCTGAGAGCCCAGACGGCTGCGGGGCTCGGGAGGGGAAGAGCCGGCGGTTTCCCAGCTCGTCCCCGCGGCTCTGCCGGGAATGTCCCCACGCCGGCGGTCACCGTGCCCCGGCCGAGGGCGCCTTTCCCAAGAGCTGCAGGACCCAGTTAAAGCACACTGCCTTTAGGAAAGTTCCCGACCTCTGCACAGGCCCGGGCACGGAGCTGTCTGCCTTCCCTCCACGCCATCCTAAATCCCCTAGAGCTCGGCAGGGAGCCGTGGGAAGGCGTCGGACAGGAGCTTTTGGGGCAAGGCCGCTAGGTCTTTTGTCACTTCGGAGGGGACTTTGCGGACTGTCCATACCAGGCAGTGAGAGGCCAGGAGATAAAGAAACGTACCCCCAAACTGTGCATATTTCAAGCGACCTTGCAACTGTACAGCGCCAAGCACCCGGGGTGAGGGGTGGGCGCTTGGCTGCGGCTCGGGGCTGCTCGCATCTGTCAGAAAGGGGAAGGGGCTGGGGCAAGCCGAAAGCCACTGCCTCTGGTAAATCTGCGGGGCTTAACCCCTTCTGAAACCGCTTTGCCAAGGGCTGGACGGGCCCGTACCCTGCTGTGAGGCGGGCAGTGGGGAGCATTGGTTTATTTATACCCCGTTCCCCAGCAGTACGGGCTGCGAAGGGAGTAGGGAGCACTGATTTATCCCCGTTCCCCACCTCTATGGGCCGCGGAGGGTGTGGGGAACACTGATTTATCCCCCGTTCCCCACCGGTATGGGCCATGGAGGGAGTGGAAAGCACTGATTTATCCCCGTTCCCCACAGTTATGGGCCGTGGAGGGAGTGGGGAGCACTGATTTATTTATCCCCCGTTCCCCGCTATTATGGGCTGAGGCGGGAGCGGGGAGCACTGATTTATCCCCCACTCCCCCGGGATCCCCGGGCGGGAGCGCTCCTCGCTGCTGCTTTAAAAGGGGCCTGTCAGCTGGAGAGGAGGGGAAACACGTCCAGGAGCGCCTCCGTCGTCGGCTCCGCATTTCTTCCGTTCGGGGAAAGAACAACAACAACAAAACAACAAAAATCCCTCTCCGCAGCGTTGCTCGCTCTCGTCCGCTCGCTTCCCCGGCCAACCCGCAGCCGTCAGAGCCGCCTCGGCTGCAGGCACGTCCGAGGGCTGCTCCCGGGCAGATAACGCGGAGATGCCGCTGGCAGGAGAGACACCAGGCAGCACATGGGCTGGGAAGAAGGAGCAGACAGAAAAGCCGCATCCCCGCCTCCAAGGATTTCCTACCGCAAAGAGGGGGAGAGGAGGGGGGCGAAAAAAAAGGAGGAAGCAACAATTTTCCTGGGGGAGGGAGCTCGGGAGAGCCCGCGTGCCCGTCTCCTGCCGTCCACGCGAGTATTTATTGTTTTAATAACCCCTGTTTGGAGTGGCTTAGGAGCGGGGGGACTCTCGGAGGTGGGGCAGTGCGGAGCAGGGGGGCGACGACCCTCGGCCCAGGCGAGCAGGTGAGAGCAGTCGGGCTCTGCTCCATCCCTCCCCGCTGAGGATGCTACCGGGGGGGTAAGGGGGGTGGGGGGAGACTGCCCGGCAATGCTGGTCCCCACTGTCGAGGCGCTCCTCCCTCCGAGCCCTCCTTCTGCTTTGATTTATTTGGGCTTTTATTGCATTTATGGCACGCCGGATGGCGCGCCGGGGACCGGCGGGTGTGCCCGGCGCGGGGGAGGGATGCGGCGTTCCCGCAAGGGCGGTGTTAGTGGGGTGGGTTTAATCTCCCCCTTCTCCTTTTCCCCTTCCCCACCTGCCTGGGACGAGCCAGTGAGCGGGGAGAGCCCCCAGCCCCGCTCCCCGTCAGAAGTCACCTCCCTGAGCAGTCCGGCTGCGCGTCCCGGGATGTTGGTGGTGCTTTATGGGTTTTGGGATCATTTGCGGCCCCATAAAAATCCCGTTAGTTTTCTGCCCGGGGGTGAAAGCCCCTCTCCCGCTGCATTGCTCGGGGAAACGCCAGAAGTGGGCGAGAAACCCGACGGGAGGAGAGGGGGGGCTCGGCCAGGGCCGGGCTGTGCAGGGGGCACCCCGGAGCCCGACCTTCACTTCCTCCCCTGCCAGGTCGCTACAAGCGGGTTTTTTCCTCTCTGGACGAGGCTCCAAGGAAGGGATATCCCCTGGGTCAGATCTTGCTCCCCTCTTTAAATAACCGGGGAGGGAACATCTTCCGAGCCGACGTTCCCTCTCCTGAAACCCTCCCTTTATTTCCGCGGCCCTATAACGGGGACACACACACCCGTACACCCCCCATCCCCTGCCTCCTCTTCTCTCCCGCGGAGAAATGATGCTCCACCGCCGGCTACAACGCAGGTCTGAGCCACGGTGGCCTGGGGAAAGAGCCGACACCTCCAACCGCATCGGAATACCTCAGGGCTTCGGATTAAAGCTGTTACATCAGTAAATTAAAAAAAAAAATAAAAATATCCAACAACAGAAAACACAGACCCAAACCTGGACGTTTATACAGAAAAAGAGCATCACAAATTCCTAATGTAAGCACCGGCCAGCTGTGTGCACTTGTAAAGTTGTTATAATCCCCCTCCTTGTTATAAACAGGAAAGTACATAATATAAAGCAACAGGCCCGCATTCACAAATACTGACCCTCCTCCCCGCGCCTGCCAAATTCCCCTTGTCTGAAGCTCGCTGCAGCCCCCGGGCGTCTCTCCCGGCTCAGCCCCTGCCCGCACGGCGCTCGCCGGCCACGGGGGGGGCCAGGGCCGGGCCCGGCCTCCGCCCCCAGCCGGTCCTCGACGGGGAGGCTGCGGCCTCCGGCCCGGAGCCGCTCCGCACCTGGCCCCCGCACACAGCCCTTCCTCCGGCAGGGAGTCCCCTGCTCCTTCCTCCCCTCCGCAGCGCTGCTTTCTCCTCTCCTCGATGCGGTTTTCTTCCTTTTCTCTCCATTTTTTTAAAAATATATTTTTTATTTTTTTGGTGAATGCCCCCGTTTTCCTGCGGGGATCCTCGCCCGCTCCTCCCCGAGCTCCAGCAGTGCACATCCTGCTCTGCTGTGTGTGCTTACAGCGTCAAAGGGTGGACGTGATATTTCAAACATCAGATCAGTGCGTTTATATATTGGGTGCCCGGAAATTTTTCCAAATAAACACAGCTTGATTCGACTTGGGTGGGCAGACTTATCAACAGACTAATTCTATAAACAAATGAAGGAATAACCCGGAGACCATTGGCTGGTACCAGCAAGACACGTGGAGAGAGCTTGGAGTTTTGTAGCAATGAAATTTTAATTAATGTGGGTGGGCTGAGAACACAAACGACTGTTTATCAGAGACAATTTATTTTCCAGTGCTAAGTCAACATATAATAGCAAACTTACAACAATTATTTAACTTCTCCCCCCCCCTCCTTTTTTTTTTTTTTTTCCTTTTTTTTTTTTTTTTTTTTTTTTTTTTAAGAGCTATGAAGCAGGGACAGAGGCAGAGCGAGCTCGTTGAGGCAGGGCTGGGATCTGAGCTCTCACAAATAGCTCCCCGGCGGACTCGCCCCAGGTTCCTGCCCTGCCCTGGCCCTTCGCTGGGCTCCGAGGGGGAAGAGCCGGAGCTCCACGCCCGCCGGCCATGAGCCACCTCTACGGCAGCCACCTCTCCCCCATGGGCAGCCCGTCCATGCTCTACCTCCCGGCCGCGCTGGGCTTCGCCCCCAGCGGCGCTCTCTCCAGACAGGACCCCCCGCAGAAACCCCCCTACAGCTACATCGCCCTCATCGCCATGGCCATCAAGGAGGCTCCGGAGCAGAAGGTGACCCTGAGCGGCATCTACCAGTTCATCATGGACCGCTTCCCCTTCTACCACGACAACAAGCAGGGCTGGCAAAACAGCATCCGCCACAACCTCTCCCTCAACGACTGCTTCGTCAAGGTGCCCCGGGAGAAGGGGAGGCCGGGCAAGGGCAGCTACTGGACCCTGGACCCTCGCTGCTTGGACATGTTCGAGAACGGCAACTACCGACGGAGGAAGAGGAAGCCCAAAGCCGCGGGACCCCCGGAGGCTCGCAGCGGTGCCGTGCCCCCCGACGGCGGCCGCCCCGACGAGCCCAAGCGGGCCAAGGGGAGCGGAGCGGGGCACAGCCCGGCGGCGGACTCGGGCGACGAAGGGGCTCCGGGACCGGCTGCTGGTGGTGGTGGGGGAGAAGGGGTTGCCCCCGGGGGACCCCCCCGCTGCTCCTCCGCCGCCGCCCCCCGGGCTCCCGCCGCCTCCGGGGGGCCGCCAGCCGCCCCCCCGGCTCTCAAGAGCGGTCCTCGGGGTCGCAGCTTCAGCATCGAGAGCATCCTCGCCCAGGGGTTGCGGCAGCCCCCCCCTGGGGCCGCCCCCAAGGCCCGGGAGAGCCCCGTCGGTTGCCTCGGCGGCTCCCTGGTCGCCAGCGGGGGCTTCGGGCCGGCCCTCAACGCCTCCCTCATGCTCGACTCCCAGGTGCACGGCAGGCTCTACCACATCGGCATCCCCTTCCTCTCCTGCTTCCCTCTCCACTTCTCCGAGGCCGTACTGAATTTCCAGTAGGTGCCCCCCACCCCCTCGGCCCCCTCGTTGCTCGCTGGGGGGGAGAGCCCGGACTCGGACCTCGCCACGCGGGTAAAAGACCAAAAAACGCTCTTAGAGGTGACTCAGGATTTTAGGGCATTTTCAAGGCACGTCTCGCTGCGGAGAGCTCCTTAGGGATTGCTTCTCCCCACCCCCCAGCCCCCCCCACCAGATCGACTGCGCAAGGTAAAGCGGTTTTCTTTTCACCTCGGTGGCGGAGGCACAGAGAGGGGGCACTGGGGGGGTCCAATGCTGGCCTCCACGCCCCACCGGCTTTGCTCTGCAGCTTTCACCTTTGCATCCATCACGTTTCTTAGACCTGCTTTCTGCCACCCCCCTCTGGTCTCCAGTCTTCTTTTTTTTTTTTTTCTTTTTTCTTTTTATTTTTTTTTCCTTTTGAAAACCCAAACCACCCCTTTTATTCTCATGGAAGGATGGAAGGGGGCTGAGATTTGCATTGCCATGCGTACCCACGGGTGCCTGCTGCACACCATCGCTCCTGAGATCAGCCCAGCCTCCGAGTGGGTAAAAGGCAGGTAGCCAAGAGTAACCGGAGCTGAAACAAGGGCAGACAAAATAATCCAGGCTCATTCTGCGCAGTCCTGCTTGCTTTGACTCAGCACTGTATATAACTCATGGCGTTAATGCAAGCTGTTTTCCTGCCCAGCACTTGTGTTTCTCGAGTATCGCGATAGTGATGTCTCACTTCTGTCTCGCTCATTTGGCCTTGGAGAGGGGGCACGGATGAGCAAACACGTTTTGAACGTGGAGAAGCAGCCCGTTTCCCTGGGTGGCTGGGATCGGTTGCTTCTGACCAAAAAAGACTGAAGCCGGGTTGTGGAGGCTGGTCTTGGCATTTCGAAGGAGCTGTGTTAACAACCCGGACAAATACCAGGAAAAAAAAACCTACAAACCAACAGAAACCATCAACTACGTTTCTCAAAGTTTTCTTCTTTTCTTAAAGAAGGAAAAATCAAGACTCTTTAGGAGCAATCAGGAATATTTCTTATTTTTTTTTTTTTTTGCCATGATAGAGGCTTTCTGTATATTAATGGATAAATGCCCTTTTGGAAAAAAAAAAGTCTATATTCTCAATTTTCATTATGAAACCAACCTATATCCAATAAAAGCATTTGGTCCAGGACTGTGGCTGATGCGTTGTCAAACTCCCCTCGCCTTGTGCAGCCTGGTGGGGTGATGCTGCCAGGAGGAGGTAAAAGGGGATGGAGGAGAAATAGAGGGGCTTAGGGAGTGACCCATTCCTCGTGACTGTGATCATGTTTCCTGAAGTGATTCTGTCTCTCTCCTCCCTCCATCCCACCCCTTCTCATGGCCTTACCTGGGCTATGGAAGTCTGGTTTCTCAGGTGAGCTGTGGGTCAGCTTTTCCAGAGGATGGCAGGCACCTAACACCTCGCCTGCCTGCCTTGACGTTTGGACCAGGAGCTTAACAGGGCTCAGATCAACACGAAGGAAAGAGCTCTCACATGGGGAAGTACAGAAAATCCCTGAAAGGTGGGAATGGTGCAGAGTTTCCCAAAAGGAAGATGCTCACAGGTGGATCCCTGGGTAGACACAGCTACAGCTTTTCCCAGGAGTGTGCCAACAACCTCAATGAAAAAAAAAAGGAATAAAAAAAAAGGACAGTGGGAATATTTATACAGATTTGCAAGATAGACAAAATAGCATCCACTATATGCTTCCTGTTTCTGACAATTTCTATTTAAATAACCGTTGAGTCAATTTTTTTAAAGCTATGGCACCAAATCAGGAAAATCTTGTGATAGTGAAGGTGTCGCTGCCCGCTCAAAGCCACTTGTGCCCCCACCATCACTTACAGAGCTGGGCATTTCTTGGGAGGGTTCATCAATTCCCTTGTCCCTGCAGTATCCCTGCTGTCACAGACAGGCACTGGAGGCAGTTAAATAAATGGCAGCCTTACCAGGAGGGTTCGAACGAGCCCTGTGGAGGCTGGGTGCTAACATCACCCATGTGAAGCAGCAGGGGCAGGGAGATCAGGGTTAGTTCTTGCCCAGCGGTGCCCTGAGACCACCCATCATCTTGCCATCCCCCCAGCTGTTTGCATGTTGTAGGGCTTGGTCATGTGTGGGAAATGGGGGGGTTAATCCTGCCTCTGAGGATGCACGAGGCCAGGTCTCCATCAAGGTTCTGAGCCTGGTCCCACAGGAGAGATGCTGGATCCTTCATCTCCATTCAGCCTAACCTGGAGAAGGGTTTAGTCCCCAGAAGGTGGCTATCGGTGCTCTCAGTCACAAGGCAGTTTACAGACAGAAAATCCTTTTTTTTTTTTTTTTTTTTTTTTTTTTTTTGTGAGTGAAGCCCCTCCTGATGCACGGAGGATGTCCCATCACATGTTTTTACCTGTGTCTCCAGCCTTGGCTGGATCTCTTTCTCCTAACTCGGTCCCCAACCTGTGGTGCCCCAGTCCTGGGACCTCTCAGATCCTGTTCCAGCTCCCAAAATACCTTTTTGGTCCTGCTGCCTGGGTTTTTACCCTTTCCCTGCTCACATAGATGTATCCAGGTGCACGGGGGAACCATCAGCAGCCACTGCAACCATTTCCTTCACTGATGGCCTCCACCTCGAGGCCCTTTATGTACAAAGGCAGACCCTGCTCAAAATAAATAAACAAATAAGAAACATCTGAAGGAATAAGACTGAAGTTGGACTGCAGCATGGCTTGTATGTTTTTGTCACAGGCATGTTTTGGGGAGATTTAACCTTTTCTGCATGATAGGAGTTTGTTTCCTTGAAGCTTTGCTCACAGTGACATTTATTTTTATGTCTGTTTTGTTAGAGTGGAGTGGGGCCGAGCCCAGCTGCAGTATTTAAAAGCTACACCAGGCCTGAGTTTGGTTTCACTTGGGAGAGAAAAATTAACAGGCTTGGTGCGTTCTGCACAAGGGTGACTGTAACTCGTGTGAACTCAGAACCAAGTAAATAGCTCCGAGTGGCAACTCAGAATTAATTGGGATCAGGCCATCGGTGTAACTTGCAGGAGAGGAACACTGAGAAAAAGGGTCTTGTTGCCAACTCGCAGAATGACTAACCACACAAGGCTTTTGCACGTCATATGTTTATATATAGAAGAGCAGAACTAATGGTACAATAAAAACAACTGCAGTTCGGTGCTGAGAAAGAAGTGTGCCTATCAATATGCCAGTACCTGGCATCTGCGTGGGGCTGAATGTCCTCAGTTCCTCTGCACATCACCCAAACCTTGGTGCTGTGCCGTACAAAACAGACACCGTGTCCTACAAATACAAAGGGCCTGACAAGCTGCAAATATTCAATGTCAATGGTTTCACACCTGTTCCATAACCAAAAAAAAAAAAGCAGCTGCCAAACACAAAACTGCCACCCAGTATTTAACTCATCCCTGGAATCTCCCCCCACTTTGCTTTCCCAACCTCTTGGGCTTGGCTATAAACACAAGTCTGCAATACTGCGAAGAAAAAGGAGAAAATAGCCTATGATGCAGTATAAACAGCATACTCCTTGTGTGGGCGATATATATGCCTTTCCGTTCCTCCGGGGAGGAATGACCTCTCCCAGCTGAGCAAGGTTTCACGTCGCCGAGCTCTGCAGCCAATTTTAACTCGTTGGAGCACAGAAGAGCTGGAAGAGGTTTGTGGCGGACCTCTTTGGATCATGGAGCAGCCTTGTTCTGAACAGAGGTTTCCAACGAGGGGAACTGAAAACGCTGCATAGCAGCCTATTAAAACAGTTCAGGAGTTTTATTTCTCATAAGTGGGACTTCTAATCTTGATATTCACACTGTGCATGTCCTCTTAAAGTTGGTCCCATAGCATATATACACGTGTATTTATATATATATAAAACATCAAGTATTTACGTATGTGCAGAAGCCACTTTCAGGACTTGTCACTCAAAGCACATGCTTGATTTCAGGGTGACATAACCCAAAGGGACTTTGTAGCTGCTTCTGTTTCATTTTGGTCCCTTTTAATAATTCCTTCGTCCTTTCCCAAGGAGGACACATACTGGAGAAGACATCCCTTTTCACACCAAAACCCACTGGCCTCCTGCTAATTGCTCTTCAGCCTGTTGTAAAGAGCTGTCAATTCCAGAAACAAGAGGGCAGGAGGATCTGCTTCGTTGCTTGATTCATTGCCCCGCACACCCAGAAAACAGGTCTCCTGGGAGACGGCATTTTGGATATTAAACAGATCGCATACTTGATTTTCAGTGAAAGACCAAGAAGACAAGATCACAGGATGAGAGAAGTTACAGATGGAAAAGGTCTATGAGGTTATGCAATTCATCAGTCTGGACATTGCATAATTGCTCCCTACAGTATATTTTTAGTGCTTTATCCAGACAAATCATTAAGTGCTTTAAAATGGGCCAGATTCCTCAAATGCAATGCGTGCTAAATCACAGCTGATTTCACAGAGGCTCGTAGCTCGCAGTGTCTAATAAGACACCAGAAGAAAGTTTTGTGTGGTCAAGGAGAGCTGAACTGGCCCTTCCAAAAATAAATACTGATCCGATTCAGTATTCCTTATAGGAATCTTTCCTAAATTGGCTGAATTAGACCCCTTAAATCTCATTTTCAGATTATACTGAATAATACATTATTACTTATTCAGATGTTCTCTTAGTCCAAAGTAAAACATTGTTAATGTTCATGTGAACGCAATTTGTTTTAAGCCAGCTTCAAAGCCAGTTCAGTAAAGCGTAAAGAATGTTTATTTAAAATATAGTTGCTAAATTTAGCATGAGCTTGGTTAGCCTAAATCTTAGCGACATTTTTAGAGAGCACATTGCAAATCAGGAATGCATGGAGAAATAAATAAACTTTCCCACATTTTTGGAAATCGAGTAAGAATTTGCAAGTTATTTCTTGCACGGGCAATTTCCGTGGATTGGAAAGCCTTATGAATAATGCAAATTTCCCACTAAGCAGACAGTTTAAAACACAATGCTAATAATTCTCATTGTAATTTCATTTCAAGGAACACTCCCTCAAGGAGGAAACAACGCTAATAGCAGTCAGCTATTGTTATAAAAATTACACAGGGCATTAACATGTTTCAATATTTACTCAAGCTCTTTGCAAAGCACTGAAAAGCTCAGTGGAGCTGCGGTTGGCCTTGAGCCAGATCCAAACCCTTGCAAAGGAAATCTTGTGTTGGAATTGGGTCCCGTGCTCCTCCCAGTCCTTAGGACACTGGATCTGACCCCTGCCCCTTGCCCAAGTCCTTGCTGGTTTCGATGCCAGCCTGCCCACGGATGGTGCTGAGCCATGCCGGAGCTGCTGTGTGGTCATGGGGCTCACCTGAGCTGGATTCAGGCAGCAGATTGGATCTGTGCTCATTTATACGAGCCCTTTTTTACAGTCCCAGCACAGCAAAATAGAGGACATGGAGCTCTATTATAGCCTCATTTACATTACCATGAGCTAATTCAGCTGGACGGTGATTGAAGCAGGAGAAAAGGCAGCCTTACTGGAAATTACAGCCTTCTGCCCACTTAGACAGCAGACAGATGATTTTAAGCTTTTCCTTTCCTTTCTTCCAGCATCACCTTCCTGAGTTCACCTGGGGACAAGAGGCACATCTGGGCCACCTTTAAAATATGGGAGTTTGCCTTAGAGAAATGAGGCAAACAGTTGCAGGGAAGATGAGCAGACTTGTGATGGTAAGGAATTAAATTCTCCTTTTCCAGGTCAGTATCCAGGGGCTGGAGAAGCATCTCCATCCTTTCCCTCCATATTTCCCTGAAGAAATGGTCACAGGGTTGGTTGATCTCCCTCAGCCCTGCAGGTGAAGGCTTGGGAACACACGGGCTTTACGCGCTAATTCCTGGATCTGCAGTGAGATGGACCCCTTAATTCTTCACTACCTATCTTCAACTGCTTACTAAGTCGCTGTTTTCATTACAAAAGCAATATGTAATAATAGTTGTTAAAATAATTGTATTTCTGTTTTTACATCTGTAAAGATTAAGTTAAACAGTATGAAGCCCATTAAACTATTTCATGTCATGCTGCCATAAATTTCCTCCATTCCCATTGCTACTATTATTCCAGAGTAAACTCTGAGATCAAGCTGCTGCCACAGAGAGTTATTTATAGGAGCTCATTCATCAATAAAAACTTCAAAAGAAATCTGTTACTCTTCTATTGGGAAGCCAAAGAAAACTAACATAAAGACAACCCCGTTAAGAAACAAAGCTAAGGAGACCACAAGACATTTAGTTAAGGAAAATCCTGATTTCTAACAAATACCATGCAAGGAAGAAAAAAAAAAAAAGATTGTTGGCAACATGAATCCTTTTAAGTTACTTCATTTTCATTGGACGGTTAAAATAAACTGTTAAACAGTTGTATTTGTCCTGGCTCGGCCCCCTCATTAGGCTTCATGTGATGGATTTGTGATCTCGCAGTGCGTAAGGAGCTCTTCACCTATTGCGAAAGCTGGTGCTGTCTTCCCACTTGTCTCAGCTGCTTTTCCACCCGTCTGTCAGCACCACAGAGAGCTAATGAGCGAGATGCTGAGTCGGCAACGGAGAACACCTACCTCCCTAGAGGTGGATACACAGAACAGGGAAAGGTAGATTTCATCATCCTTATTCTTACTGTATCTCCTGCGCATGCGAGCTGTGCAGCATTCGGCTCTACAACACTGGCAGGGCTGGTCCTTGGGTGCATGAGGGGTCTAGTGCCATGCTTCATTGCCTGTACCAGCCCTGCTCATATCTCTCTCAGGACTGTTTGGGGCCACATCAGATCTCAACGCTTGTCATTTATATCATAACAATTGCTCATCATTGGGGAAGCAATATTCTTCTTCTTTTTGCTCCTGTCTCACCAAGAGCTTCACATGAGTGAGGTTTTCCTCCTTACACTTTTTTGTAGGAACATCAGCTCAGTGGTCTGCCAGATCCCATCATGGTAAGAGCATCCCCAAACAGTGCTTTCTGAGCTCAGCAGCCAGAGATTTGCTTGTTCCCACCACAGCAATCTGAGCCCCAAATGCAATGCAGGGTTCAGGCACAAATTGTATAAAAATATCGTGGTCACATCCTCAAATATCAAAGCCCAGAGGTGGGGATACTATTTCCCAGAGATCTCTTTACCTCTGTCATTACTCATGCAAACCTAAGCAGGGCAGTTTGTGTGGATTTCATCTCAATCAACACTAGTTGTCTGACAGCTCAGCACCTGAACTAAGCTGACCATCCAGGCCGCCTCCCTAATTTTGCAGGAAAGCAAAACACCTTCAGAGAGCAGATCTTCCAATGACCACAAGCCCAAGCTTTAGGGAGGTGAAATCACCCCTTGGTTATATGCAGAGAAGCTGGATGACCAGCTGATATGAGGTCTGTGCTTTAGAGAATCAGGGGAGAGGAAATCCACCCACAGCAGATGGCTTCTTCCAGACTAGATGTCAGCCTGCCTGGCAAGGGCAATAAACCCCTTTTGTCTGAACAGGGCTTTCTCTAAACTTGCCTCAAAAGCTCTTTTTGTATTTCTTACAAGCCGTTTTTGGTTGGGTTGTTCTGCAGTGGGGGTAAGAAATCATTGCTTTCCTTCTACTGTAGATTTAAACCAGGGAGTCCCAAGTGGACCACTAATGATGTGACTTAAAAACAGCCCAGCAGCTGCTTCCCCAAACTCAGGTACTAGATAAAGAAATTTGCAAAGGCTTCTTATAAGCCGCCAAACTAGGGTCCCAGAAAATCTCTTTCCTCGTGAAGATCTGGAAGAGTTACCTTTACTTTTGTCCATCATGTGCTTTGCTGCAAATTGAAGCTCATGTATCCAGCTTTGCACTGATATAATTACAGTCACTGAAAAAGGGGGAGAGCCAAGTCAGTCACGTTGACCCAATTACACCAATGAGAAACATTTTCATACATTGCTATAGCTTATATTTGGAATAGGTCTAAACAGCAGGGACACAATGATTATTAATAAACATGAAATGTCTCCATATACAAACCAGATTTATTCCAATTGAACTGTACTTACTGTTAAATATAATTGCTTTGTTATGAAAAGGGCAAAGAGAAGCCCTTAATTGTTGTGTCTGCTTTCAGATTAGACTCTACATAAACTCGAAATAACAACAACAATTGTGGTCCACTTCTTATGGAGCATTTTTCATTGATTTCTCCTAAAGTGCTTTGCAAGGAAGGTCAGTAGAAAACCCCATTGTAAACACGGGGAAATCTCCTGATTATTTGTTTTGGATGACTATAGAGGAAATTGCATATGCTTTCATGGAAAAAAAAAAATCCTCTATTATTATTATTGTCCTCCATCCTAAAAGGGAAGAAAAAAAAAGCCTGGTGACTCTGATCTTACTTTAAATTGTCTTCAAATAAATTCCAGGCAAACCAAATTAAGGCAAATGACTCTGGATTTAATGAGAGTAAATAGTAACAGACTAAGTAAAAGCTTAAAACAGGCACCTAGCTGCTCTGTGCTCCTTGTAGCATGAAAGATCTCTTGAAAATTTTGACTGAATAATTTTTTGTAGCTTATTTCAGAGATATTTTACTTATGGCTTTAGCATCAATAAGAAACCGCAGGTCAGCTGTTAGCAAAACAAAGTGGAAAAATCTGTATCTGTAGCTTAGATAAAATCAAGAAAATAGTTCTGTTTAGAGTGTGAAGTGCAATCATGTAGTGAAGCGTTCAAAAATACCTTTGTGCAGTAGTTTGGGGCTGAGCAGAGAGAGCGCAAGACTGGAGCGAGACGGGATTCAGCCCTTTGAAGTCTCATGGGCTGATCCTTTTCACATCCAGGTATGATTTCCATTGCTGGGGAAAAAGATCCTGAACTAAAGCCGTTGAGAGAGGGAAAAATATTAATTTTAACTAGAGATGTCTCAGAGAACTGAGGGATCTGGTGTTTGCAGGGTCTGTGCAAGATGCAGCATCCCAGATCTGGTGCAGAGCAAGCAACTCCCTGGTGGAAGCACTACGGGGACAGGACTGGGAGCTGGCCTTGGAGGTGTTCTCCTGTCACTTCAGCCATGGGGACAGGGGTGGCTGTGACCCTCCTGGGGCCAGGAGGAGCCGCAGGCACATTTTGCAGGGGTTCTGCCTCTCCCACTGTCAGGACTCAGGCAAGCATCGCTGAATGCTTAATTTGCACTACTCTGGCTTTGTCTGGGCAGGCATCTAACAGGGCTTTCTTGGATTGTTCACTCAACCTTGTTCTATCAAATGCTTTTCTAAAGTCTTTAATCAAGACAGGACTAGTCATCCTCCACCCTGATAGCTCAGCAAATGCTGAAGACCTGGTGGCCTTTCCTTGAGTTTCCAAAGATGTAAGCACACGGAGAGAAGCTGGAGGGTGGGAGGCCTTGGTCCCCATATATACAGATGCACTGGTGCACATGGACAGGGAATGTGTGAGCTACCCAACCCTGCCCCAGTCCAGAAAGAAAAAAGGGATTAATTTCTTTCTGCTCAGGTAGCTTTAATAAATCAGTTCTGCCTCCAAACTCACTTTTCTATCCATTATATTGAGGGATAACAGTGAATCCCAGTTCTTTTCCAGCTCTTCATTAAGATTTCCATGCTAGGACATGAGCATTAAATCTCCAAAAGAGATATGCTGCTTCTACTCTCAGCTCCTTGCTGCTTACTTTAAAAGTCATTATCTTTCCTTCCAGTAATAAAATAAATCAATAGGGAAAAGATATTTTTCAAATGTCTAAGAAACGCAGTTTCTCTTAAGGTACGGAGGAAACACGAAGTATCAACTTTGACACACTTGACAAATATTGAAAGGGAGCTGAGGCTAAAAGGCAACTCCTTGAAGATTTTGGATCATTAAGAAACTACACGAATGGGTTGAAATCCTTGAAAGAAAACCTATCCCAGGCTTACTTGGCTGGACTGGCGCCAGGGCTGTGCGTTTACCTCCCAGGCTGTCTCCCATTAATGATGTCTAAGGGAAAACCCATCCCCACTTATTTCCTAGGGGTGGGAAGGATCTGTGAGCCGACGAGCCGGGGGTTCCCGTGTGCTCATTTGCTTGTGCGTGCCGTGCTCAGGGCAGCACCTGTCAACCCCTAAATCCCAGAGCACTTGGCCTCAGCGAGGGTAAGACCAGCAGCTCGGTTTTGACCCACAGGATGACTACAGGGAGCCAGGCTGGGCTGCACAGACCTTTCCCAGGCTCAGCTTCTCCCCACATTTTGTTGCATTGATTGGAAAGTGCGGGCATGCGAGAGGGAGGTCAAGGTTTTACAAGGTCCCAGGCAAGTCTCTCCGGGGAAGTGTCATGTTGTAAAGGGCTGCGTCTTCTGGTGATGCCCTCTGCTGTTAGATGGGCGCTTAATCAGCTGTTAGAGGTGAAGTCACCACGCTTTCTGTCCCCAGTGAGAAAACTGGGGTCTCCTGGGTGGCCTGGGAACAGCCTGGCCCCTCTCCATTGGAGCTCTAAGGTTCAGGCATCGCGGCAGGCGTAGGAGTCGGGCCCCAAGTAAAGGGCCGGACCAGAGGGTGACCTCCTGCACCACGGAAACTTCACATCCGAGCTCTCCGAGACCGCGCCGTCTTCCTGTGTCTCCGCACAGCTCCTCGCACAAAGGGTCCAGTGTCCCGGGCTGCACACAACGCCCCAACAACAATTAGGTGACTCAGCTCCTCCGGCACGGACGTACGGCCCCGACGGAGAGGACCACACTCAAGGAGAGGGCACGGGGAGGTTATTCGGGGAAGCGGGTTTGAGGGTGGTTTGGTGTGGGCACCCCGTGAGGCCGTCCCTGCGTTTGGCAGCAGAGGGAAGGAGGTGGAGGGCTCTGGGGCTGAGTTTTCCCAGGGCTGCCGCAAGGCATCGCGCAGGATCGGGCTGCCTCTGTCCTGGCATCCAGGCTTTAAATCTCATTTCCAGCTAGTTTACTAGAAATAGTCTCCACAGCCCTCGAGATGAAATATCCCAGGCTGGCGAGCTAGCGGCTTGTGCTCGCTGCAATCTGCGAACTCCGAATTTCACAGCTGCGGTGAGACAGTATTTAAAATCTCAGAGACAGAAATGGCCCTCTGTAAAGCAGAAATTATAAGTTTTGGCCCTGTCTCTAACCTTTGGAGAGTTGCC